TGAATGAAATTCCAAAGTTATCTGAATGCACACATGGTCATGTTCATTAATCAGAATAAATAACAAAGAGAGCTAGAATTGAAAGCCACAGTGATTGATACATCCCAAAAGGTAAGTGATTATCTCTCTGCTATTATACAGAAAAGAATGATTAATTTCATTCTTAAGTTAAAGGACTGCTATAAAATGATATTTTCATGTTTTGGAGGGGATTTTTGTTTTATTATCCTGGAGATTGAACCCAGGTCCTCGCACATGCTAGGCCAGCCACTCTAGTACTGAGCTATAGCCCCAGTATAAGATGATCTTGAGGGTCTTTTCCATTTTCAAGTTATGTAAATCTCAGAACATTGCCCAGAAAACAATAATAACAAAAGAAGTTCATGAACTTGAGAATCAGAGAGAACTGTATTCAGGCACCTGTTCCAATGTGAACTGTGCATTGTGGCAGAACCCTCAGCTACCCTGGGTGTGTAAAACCTCACAGGGCTGCTGTGAGGTATGAAAATGCCCAGTTCAGTGCCTGGCACATTGTGTGTGCAAGGTAAAGACTGATTTTCTCCCTCCCTTCCTTTCTTCCTTCCTTCCTTCAGTCTTCCTCCGTTTGTTAGTATGGGGAGAGTCATTCTGGCTACCTCCTGCAGCTGGTGTGAAACCTTCTCTGTAGACTGCTGCAGTTCCCAAAGTAGCTACTATCTCAGAGAGCTGCTTCCTGCCAGCTATGCTCACTCATATCCCAAAGTACAACACAAACTGGCTTTCAAGAAAGTACACATAGGTAGGAGATCCCTGACAGCAGGTGAGTAGTTCCTCTTTCAACTGGGCCCCAGGAACTGTGTTTAAAGTGCTGACATTAAACAATCGCATCCTCCTTGCACAAGTAAGCAGCCATCGAATCTTCTTGTTGTCTTTAAGGGACAGTGAGTGAGGTTGAGAATCACAATTGCACACTGCTATATGTTTACAATGTGAGAACTTCAACCAAGGCTCCTTGTTAAAGTGCAAGGACAGCATGCAGCTCTCTAAGTCAGTTCCTGCCACCATGACCCCAGTCATTGAGTTGATTGGGATTCTCAGCAGGAAGAGACAAGGACAGCCCCCTCTTCTATAGCTAATGCTAGAATGTTACTTTTTTCCTAGATACCAGTGTTCCCACAGGTCCCCTGTAGATCTCTGTTATGAGGAAATGAAAAAGAAAAAGGTCAGGATCCTCTGGCTTATGAAATTTGAATGCCATTTGTACTTGACATCATGTTTGTTTTTTAGCTTCAGTTGCACAATTTTTCAAGATTAATAAGTTCTGTAGATGCTATTCCAACATTGTGCAATGTCTCCATACTAAGGAATTTTGTTAGTGGGCAATAGAGCACAACTCAATTCTATCAGTTCTTGAAGTGGTACTATTTAGGGACCTCTCTATTTCCTGAAGGAAAACCTTGAAGTGCACAATATAAATATTGCATTAACTCTAATGCAGAGTTCTACATTTATGCCTTTCATGTGTGGAAACAGGTGTGTAGAGGCCAAAGCCCTGGTTATATTGCTCTCTCTTCATCTAAAAATGGTCAGCAAGTTCCTGCGGGTTTGCAGACACTGAGGGGTTCTTAGAGGTCTTCTCACCTCCATTCCCCTGCTACCCATCAGCAAGGCAACTGCAAAGTAAACTGGGTAGGAGGAGGATCTCTGCTGGCTTTGTAGATGCATTTATTTCTTAGCAAGTGTCATTGAAAACTTACTTATATTAGGCATGGTACAGGGTACAGGGATACAGAGGATAAGACAGTTCCTGTCCTCCCATTGATAGAAAGGAGGACAGGAATCATTTATGATCAAAGAAGAGTCCATCCACAGCAAATTGTTTTTATATCCCAGTGAATTCAACAGCTCAAGTAGCACCTTACCTCCGGTCAAGTTTGAGACTTTAAAGTTCCCAGGATGCCACATAAGAATAAAGAAAGACAATGATCATTAACAAAAGAAGGAACGAAAGAGCCACAGAAGCTGACCGTGAAGAGCAGTGGCCTCTGCAGTGGAGCACTTCCTTATCTTTGAAATTGGTCTCTGTTTCTTTAAGCATCTTCCCTTGGCTCTTTCAACATGGACAATTGGTCACCAATAGAAACTTAATTATCAATTAATCGATTGCTATTGAGTTGCCAGGATTTCATCCCAGTTATCTGCTACTCCTCAGAGTAATCTATAGTATTCTAGTGAAGAAAAGCTTCTAATTAAATAGTGAAATAGCACTCATTAATAGAGCAAAATAAATATCTAAAACTAAAACATTGTACTATTTCCGAGAGACAGTAGGTTTAACATCTCTAAGACTCTATTTGATAATTTATTACCATTTAAAATGAAGAAATAATTGTTGGTACATGAAATAGAGCTTTTTAGGTAGCTTTTAACCATAAAAATCAATAGATGTAGGAACTTTCCATTTCATGTGACAGATGGTTGACCTTAAGGAGTAAGGTCATCATATAGAAGAATAAATTTTTTTTTTTGTTCTTAAACTCATTGATTGAAATATGCTATGATATTTTCTGGTTGTTATCAAACAACATTCATTTTCCTGGATTGGTAGCTACATACAGTGATGTGTAAAAATGAACTTTCTATTTGTTCTAAGGTCCTCCTTTTCCTTAATACATATTCCTCTCATCATCATCTGCCCCAGGTTTACTAATTCCTAGCCATCTCATCAAGATAGTCAGGAGCCTTGTACTCTTTATTTGTCCTTCATAAACTTTTAACTACCCCTATCCCAGAAAAAAAAATGACTTAAATAATACTGGTTCATGTCTCCACACCCATCCCCGTCTACCTATAATTGATTCACTTATTTGTTGATTCATTCAATTGATATTTACTAGCTGCCTATTATATGTGGTGTTTAGTTATTGCCAACAGTACAGTGGTGAAAATACAGTCTCTAACTGCAGAGAACTATCACAGGAGAAGGCTCACATTATCTTACAATTGCATAAGCAAATTGAAATTGCAGCTATAGCTATCTTATAGCTATGCTGTGCTGTCTATGATGCTTAGGCAAAAGGTATTGTGAAAGTCTAATAATAGGAACATTGGACCTTGATATTGGCATCAGGGCAGGCATTCTGAGGGAATGGTGATAAGCTAAGGTCTGAAGGGGGTATAGGAGTTCACAAGGTGAATGGAGGTGGAGGCAGAAATCCAGGCAGAGGAAACAGCCTAAGCATTTAATGGGAGGACACCTGGAGAAAGGAAGGAAGGATCCCTCCCTGGTGCACAGAGAACACAGACCTAGAGAAGCTGGGTAGTGGCCAGATGATGACACCCACATCCAACATGTCAAAAATGTTTTCTTCTATTCTAAAAGCAATGGGAAAGCATTAAGTGTTTTAGATAGAGAGGCACATGGTTAGATTCACATTCTTATAAGAGTTCTGTTAAAGTGTTGAAAAGAGATCACCTGATGAGAGTGATGGTGGATTTGGTGGGTCTAGTTAGCAACCCACTAGTTGTGGTCCCAGAAAAGGGTGGGTGACCAGGATGAAGATGGTGGTTATGGAGAGAGAAAAACCCAGGGAGGTCCAGGAGATATTTAGAAGTGATGGGAATTGAAGATGGAATGTATATGGGGGGCTAAAAAAAAAAAAAAGCAGTAGGAATCAGGGATGGCACTTGGGTTTCCAACTCGTGTGCCTTGAAGGATATATGTAATATATCACTGGGGTGTGTAATATATAATCAGGAGTGGAGTATTAGTTATTTTGAGACTGAAATCTCTTGAGACTTGAGAGTGGAGACACAAAAGCATGTGTCCATGAATAATAGACATGTGTCTGCATAATAGATATCACAGAAATTGCCAGGACTTACTATGAAAAGTGGAGAAATAGCCCTTTGGAGCCTTGAGAAACACTGACATTGATAGCCAGGTGCAGATGGTCCAACAAAGGAGAATTACTACAATCTGAGTGCCTGGGGCTGGGACTTGGTGGTGATTCAGTGGTAACTCACGTGCTTAGTATGCACAAGGCCCTGGGTTCAATCTCCAGCACCATTAAATTAAAAAAAAAAAAAAAAAAAAAAAGACTGAAGCAGAAGGAAGGATCTTCTCAGTATATAATTGTCACATACTACTAAACAACATTTTTAAAAAATCCTTCCCCTTGAGGTTGAACCTAAAAGATAGTTACCAGACCGTAGTTTTCTTGGTAAGCTAGTTACTGATACATTTAATGAACAGCTCTTTTGTTTTTTCAACTTTTGCCCAGTGATGACTCACCCAAGATCCTATATGCTGAGTTCTGTTGTAAGAGATTTATATAAATTAGTTCACTTAGTCTTTGCAACAGTTCTGTAAGCTAGGTACTATTTCTGTAATACTGTATGTTTTACACGTGGAGAAAGAAACAGATGATGTGAATTTCTGAACACAGAGAGATTGTAGGTATTACATAAAGCATATAAGCATTTGAGATCAGAATTTGTTGCAAGCACTTGGGTCTGTGTACTGCTACCTACCCATGAATTATCTACTAACCGCCACTGCCCACCACCTCTGCACAAAATGCATAGAGGCACACATTTTAAAATGTAATATCACAGTATGATTCTACGATCAATTGTTATTCCATTTGCAATTCATCTCATAGGACTTGCCTGCTAGAAGCATTACCTTTATGGCAAGGGCTGAGACATTTAAAGTTTTGTTTTTCTTTTAATAGCGTCTGCTAAGTTCCTTCTTTACATATGCACATATCCAACCACTGTGCAAACTGTGAAGGTAAGGTTTGCCTCCAGTTTTCAAGTCTGTATATACACAAACCAAGCCTAGTAAAATTGGAGCTATATTGGTCAGTAGAAATATTTATGCCAGTGTGGGGCCATTTTTCTACTTGAACTGTTATCTCTGCCATTCTGTTCCAAGCTATGAAAAGACACACAGAAGTTTCTTACCAGCTTGTTCTCATCTGCACTGTCATTAATTCAATAACCATATTTTATTCCAGATGCTTCTGAGAAATTCATCGGGCTGTGAAGTGCGCAGTGATGAATATCGAACTGAGTTTACCACACCTTTGCCGCGCATTGACTTATTCATGGGCCAATTCAACCAAGTGCTCTTAACATCTATATCTACCTTCATTAAAGGAAACCTCACCATTGCTAATCTTGGGACATCAGAGGGTCGCTTCATGCAGGTAAGGGCTTTCAGAGGGTCTCTTTTATTTGATACTATGTAATTAGTTTGTTTTGGTTTTTTCAGTAAGGTATTTGCAAATACTGTGAAATGCAATTCACAGCAGAAGCTCAGGACACAGGCTAAAAGCCAAACAAAGAAGTCTGGTCCACTTTTTATGAAGTGTATGGCCTAGTTTTGTTAAGTTTTTGAAGCTTTCACTTTGAACGTGGTTGCTTTAATTTTCATGTCTGGAATGGTTTGGTGGTTTTTTTTTTTTTCCATTCATAACTTCTATCACATGATTGGAAAGTAAAAATGAAACAATTAAAGCACTTCCAGGAGATGTTTTCCTATTCCAAGGGAAGCAGCGGATCAAAGGAGAGCTATTGTGTGAACCGTGTGTCTCCATGAGAAGAAACATTCACATCATTGAGAAGTGTTGGCAGGAGTTGGGAAGACACACTATCATCAAAATCCCATTGTAATTGAGGCTCTCCTGATTCTGAAAAATGATGGGATCAGACACAAAGAAGTTAAAATACTTTTTTTTTTAAATGCATTTTATTAAATGCTTTTAATGACGAGCAACAGTATTTCCATACAATAAAAGTCTACATTTCAGGCTTGATTGAAGTCACTGTGTTTCCTAGCTACAAGAATCACAGCACTCTCCAGACATTAAAATGCTCTAGTGTTGGATTTATTTTACCACTTTAATAATTATGGCACTTTCAATATGAATTCATGAATGCAGAATGACAATGACATCTATGGAAATGTTGAAGCTCTACAAACACTAGAAATTTCTTGTGACGGAAGATGCTCACTTCACAATTGTCTGATATAGTTAACATCCTGATCAAACAAATGACTTCTAGTAAGTCAATTGAGGACGATGAGTTCTTCCTAAGACTTGATTATCTGTACATCCAGTGTCTGTGCTCCTTTGTAAAATTTACTTTTAAAAATTACTACAGTCTTTATAACAATGTAGATATTGGTCATTGCCACATTTTAAGGACTATAAATCATGTTTTTCTAGTACTAATGGCATAATGGAATGCTTTCAAAGTCATACAGCATGTAAATAAAACTTTCCTAGCTCAAAACTAACTGTATAGAACCTGTGCTCTAAATGTTTCCACACCATCTCCCCTCCTGAGCTTCACATTCCTCCCTCTCCTCCCTCTATCCCATTCCATTGTGTTTATTTAACCACCTCACCCATCTTGGCCATTTAATTCTATCCTTAACTTCTCAAAATCTGAAGGAGGGAAGCCCAGGCCTTCCACATGGACAGACATGGCCTCTAACACATTTAAATATGGTTGTATCTATTATCCTTGTAACATGGGTATTATTATTTTGTATTTATATGTGTTTTTAGTTTATATTGATGGTAGTTTTAAAAATTCCAAAGAATTTGAAGATGCAGGATAAAACCTAGCATCTGTTGAATTCCTTATGTGTTCATAATTTTCCTTTGTCTCCCTTTATCTTAATTTCTGTTTTTCTTTTCTTTTTTCTAAATTGTTCATTATCTCACCAATCCAGGTTCATATTAATAAGTTTTCTGTAACCATTTTAGGTCTTTTTTTTAACATCAAAAGCATCATGATCTGTTTCCAGATGCTAAACTTCTAATAAAATCCCATTTTAAATAGGTTGCTTTAATGACAGAGTCCACACAATCCAAGGAATGTGTCTTGTGTCCATCTCATTATAACAGAAATGCTATGACAAATGATTTCTTCTTATATAAAAGAAACTTCTTATGCCATTAACTGCATCCCATACAGAAGGTGGAAATAATAGATTTTTATTTTATGAAAAGTACTGAAGTCACTGATTTTTTTGTAAACAGGTGACTTTTAATCATCAACTGTGTGTGGAGACCTCACCTACTTTTCTTTACTAGGCAAATGAGGGATGAAAAGGAAACAGTGACACAGAACCTGCCCTTAAAAAAACTCAAGTTTTAGTAAAAGAGATAAAAATATTTTCTGGTAACAATAGTATTCACAGACAAAGGGCTGTTGGTACCCACAGAAGATTTATTTTTCTGACACTTGAAATTTTATATAAATAAACTGAAAGCACTTGAAGAATCATTCAACATTACTGAAATGCAGTTTGTTTACAGCAAATAATAGTGGGGGGATGGGTTAAGGGTGGGAGTTGGGTTAAGGAGGAAGATCAGTGACCTTCTTTCCAGCCTGATCTTTCAGAGCAGTGACTGCCCACCAAGTTCTGTAAATGTTTTGACTGGGCTAAGGGCTAAACCTGTGGCCCGCCTAAGTTCTACAAGTCAACTTTTAATAAATACTATGGAGTTTCTGTTACAAAATAGAATGAACATTTTCTCTCCCTCTCTGAAGACAGCTGCCACACATGAAAAGGAACAGAAAAATGATTTTACTTCCTTCCTACCCTGAAACCTAATGGCAAAGTTGCTTTGCAATTTTTTTTTCTCCCAAGAGTTTGCAGCTGTTTCTGCCCTTCCTATTGTGCTTGTGTTCAGCTCAGGCTGGGAACACAAGCTACAGCCCCAGCTGTTGGGTGCAAAGTGAATCAGGTATTTCACAGTGGTTATTTGATTAGAAAGAATTATATTGTTTAGCTAACAATAGTATATGCATGGCAGAGAAGATGTTTCTAACATGTTCCTGACATTTCATCATGTGTAACTTAAATAGGTACAGTTACGTCTAAATATACTGTTGTCTACATGTGGAGTCTCTATATCTGTTGAGCCATGTCAGTATAAATTTCAAAAACAGTTTTTATTTATATGATCACTCTCTTGGGATGCCTTGACGTAAAATAATATGATAAGCAATGTTTGAGATGGTCTAAGTAAACAGTGAGAATAGGCCTTACAAATTGGGAGGAGGGAGTACAGAAAAGAATAAGACTGAGCAACTTTAGCAAATATACATGGCTACGTGGGAGAGGGAAGCAGGATTCTCATGAAGATCACAGGACTAATCATAGGGATTGCCCACGTCTCCCCTTCTGAGCTCCTCGTCTAATCTACATCCAAAACAATGCTTGCTTGATTTTTTTTTAGCAGCACTTGTATAAGGCCTTTAATCTCTAAATGCAGAGCATTGCTATTAAAATATTTGTGTGTGACTGTCAGACCAGGGAGAGTGAGTGGATCAGAGGGAATGGGAGTAGAAAGGCCCTTCCAAGGCTTGTTTCAAATTCAGCTCTACAAACATTCATGGGGCACTGCAGGCTGCTAACTGTGCCCGCTGCCTGGCACCATTACGTCTGCCATTAGGCTCTTTGGTACCATCCTCCTTTTCCCCTCTCCCAAATTCTGTTACTGTTATTGCTGTTACTACTCATCATCCTCTTTTTCTTCTGCTCTTAACTGGGCTACTTGGGTTTCAAGCAAGAAACTTCAAGAGGTAAGGATGGCTCAAAAAGACACCCTTTGGTCCTGATCATCTATTATTCCATTACTTAAATAATTATGCTAGTAATCAGTGAACTTGCAAATAATTACTCACTTCCAGGAAGCAGAATCAATTAATCTATTGGCCTCTTTACATTCCTTTAGCTTCTGGGCCACCATCATACTGTGTCAGTTCTTTGCATTGGAAGCCTGTGCCAGTTATTACATTTGAAATGACTGCTATTTCAGAATTTGTAGACACAGATCATCAATTCAGCAATGTTATGAACATCAGGCAGAGACACAGCTGAATGAAGCTTACACTCAAACACCATTTCTCTATAAGGATTGTTAATTTACCCATCTCTTTTACAAAATGCTCAGATAAAAATATCATCTGCCTTTTTTTAAATTTGTACATCATTGACTTAATTATATCCCTAAGGAACATTATTAGTATTGGGCTATTTCTCATTATGCTCATGAATTCTAAAATTTCTTTTGTGCAAAAAAAGAGCTCATACATAATAATTTCAGGATTATGTCCATAAATAAAAATTAAGTCCAGTTCATGTATAGTCTCCTCAAATGAATTAATGTATGCTCTTGAAGGACATGTATGTTATACTCTATCACACACATAGAAGTTTAAAACATCACAAATATTTGCAACCTTAGGAAAATGCAAGGCTTTTGTTTGTTTTGGTTTGAGGTGGCAAGGAGTAACTGGAATTTCTTGCATAGTTATCTTTCGGATAGAACAGAGACATTGTAAGACATGAAATATGTTTATCAGTTGTTTTTGAACTTTAGTCAGTTCAAAATTCAGAGGCAGATATACTCTGGATAATAGCTAATCCTACAATCAACACATATGGGATGTTGACTTGAAATTATTCATTATTTTTGAATTTTTACAAACTCCCTAACTTATTTGGTTTTTTAACAAAGTCAATCCAATACTGACTCATTTTGACTCACTTTTGACTCATTTCAAAAAATTGAAGCAGATACACATCAGTATTGTAATAGTGAGGAAAATTGCTTTGCCCATTGGATATACTAGTCTATTTACCAAAAGGAGCAAAGAATGGGGTAAAAGTTCATTTAATTCAATTTTTACCACCTGGTGGTACTTTCTCTTACCATTTTTAGTTCTCTATTTTCAATACCAGTTTGCAATTTCTACTTCTTATTTTTCATTTTTTTTTTGCCTGTTTCACAAAACTAGATACGAGCCTTGATTGAAACAAATTGCTCTAAGCCTCATGTTCTGATTTCTTTCTAAATAAAAACCAATCCTTATCATATACCAAAGAAAATAGTAAACTTTAAACAGACAAGAAGCATGAGGCATTGCAAGCCATACCTAGAAAAAAACCTTCAACTCCTGAAGGTTTTCTAAACTCTGAAACATTTCTAAACCCATGCCTTCATTAAGGCCTCTATGGGCTTCTGATTTCAATCTGTTGTGTCTGAAGGCAATAGATACACCTTAAGGACCTACTCTGTGCCAGAGTCTTGTCTATATTGGCAGCTAGAGGGAAGCAGACACTTCCTGAATCTACTGGGTCATGTGACCCCATGGTGTCTGCATCTTCACTCACATTTTATTCTCTTTGAAACTCAAATTCTGATCATTTTCATCACCTTTCATGAAGAATGAAGTTTTGCTTATTCCTTAACACATATCCTCTCTTCTTTTTAACTTTTCATTCAGAAATCAATCTAGATGGTATAAAAGCTCCTTTTCAGTTTTATTTACCTTGAAATGGAACTGTCTGTTTTTATTTCTTATATAAGAAAGATTTACTTAATTCATCAGAAGATTTCTTGAAGTTTCTTGGTCACATTTTAAATCTACATTTCCATATGACTGAACCACGTACCATGAGGTCTACCATGTTTTCTTGATCCCACGATGACTATGTGAAGAAGAACTGCATTATGTTTTTTCTAAAAGTCTGCCATCCAGTTCAGATGTATCAAGGACCACTGAGTATGTCAGACCAACATAACTATAAAGTTAAAACATAACTATAAAGTTATATTATCCCAGACCCGTGTCTCCTTCAAGAAGTATCATGCAGATGAAAATTCCAATAGTTACTTAAGTCTCTCCAAGAATACTAAAAGATACAAAACATGCTTAGACCACAGCAACTCTATAAACCCTCTGTCTGATTGTTCTCTGGAAGTTTTCAGGGGCTCCTCCCTCTCCTTCAGGAGGTCCACGCTCATCCACTCTGTCCCATCCCATCTACCTTGCCACCTGTCCTCCCTCTGCTCTCCATAACAGGGAAAGCCAAAGTACTCGTTCTAGAAAGGAGATTGTGAACCTCCAGAGGTAAACCTTTCTCTTGCTTAACTTAAGGAAACACTTGGCAGAGGTACACAAACCAAAACCACAATAAAGTACCACTTCACACTCTCTAGCACAGCTCTAATCAAGAAAATGGAAAATAACAAGTGTTGTTGAGGGTGTGAAGAAATGAGAAATTGCTTGTGGGGATGTAGTCGGTGCAGTACCTTAAAGGGTCAAGCAAGCCTTTACCTTAAGGCTCAATAACTCTACTCCTAGATGCATATACCCAAGAGAGATGAAAATACATGTTCACACAAAAAGTTATACATGAATGTTCATAGCAGCACTAGTCACAACAGCCAGAAAGTGGAAACAACCCAAATGTCTATTACATAATGAATAAATTAATATAATGTGGTCCATCCATAGGATGAAATGTTATTTGACAATAAAAAGCAGAATGAATGAACCTTGAAAACATTATGCTAAGTGGAAGATAACAAACAAAAAGGACCACATATTGTAGGATTTCACTTATGTGAAATATCTAGAATAAGAAAATTACATATGATAATAGAAAGTAGATAAGTGATGTCAGGGTCCAGAGGGTCTGGGGATTGGGAAATGATAGCTAAGGGGTCTAGGATTTCTTTTGGGGGTACTAAAAGTGATCTAGAGTTGGTTGAAGTGATGTTTGAACAAATCTGTGAATACACTAAAAACCATTGAACTGTCTAAAAGAAAGAAAGACAGACTTTTGAGGGAGTAGACAACCACATACAAATATGGTAAATTGTGTTCTTCATTCTTAAAGAAAATTAAACAGAATTTAAGCTGTTTAATTAAAAATAGAACTCTCTGTATATGGTAAGAAGATCTGTCTGGACTTCATGTATTTGTAGAATATCACACAAAATCATTTGGTGCAGGTTTACAAATGTGGAGGGCTAGGCCCAGCAGTTTCATTTATCTGTATTTTTATTTCTTCCCCATGTCCTCTCACAAATAACTTATTGGGAGAGGTTATGTGGGATCAAAACCACAACAATGGAGTAAATTCAGATTCTTTCCTCGCCCTGCCCTCCCCCCAAATATATTAGTCCTGTATGTTCAAGAACATTAAGGAAAAAGATAAATAAATACTAAAGATTAGTCATGGACACAGTAGAATAATTGCCAGTCTTGTATTTCATAGTAATTGTTTTGAGATTGCCAAGTGATTTATCATAATAATTAAATTGATATGCCAAATTCTGTTCTGTCCCTAGAAATATCTCCATGACAACAAAAAGTAACTCCTGAATCTTGCAAGCATTGCTTCAGGGATCTTTTGAGAGTTGAAGTGGTTACTCAATTATTTAGAATTCTGGCAATAACAGAAAGTGGGGAATTAATGATAGAAAAAGCATTCTTGGCATTTCATGGCAGTAGATGTGCCCATGGAGAGAGAGCTAATGATCAACTAGAAGCTATTCACATATGTGGAACTACCTCTGTGCTACATTCCAGAGGGTCATCCCACTTTTCCACGTGACTTCCTGCCTTCTCTTGTTTGTCCCATTTGTCTATACTAAGTCATGATTAAAAGCAGAGCTTTGATAGCTGAGCTAGTAATATTTCCTCTGTACTATCAAAAACTATGCAGATGCAGAGGCTTTATCCTTCAGCGCATGAAACTTCTGCAGCCTAGATTACTAAAACAAGGAATAACTGGCAAGGCAAATATATTGTGAAAGCTGTTTTAGTGCTTCAACTCACCAGAGCTCTTGGGAGCTCAGAGTTGAAGATTTTTATTGGTATTTACTCTGGTGCGCCAAGAGCCTCGCAGTTTAGTTAAGAACAGGTCAAGCACACAGATTCAGGCATTAGATAAAGCTCCTTGGAAATTTGATTCTTGTCCTTTCTAGCTGAAATTCTTTTGTATTTTCCATAAGGCAAATAGTAATACCTACTTTGCAGAATAATTGTGAGGAGCCACTGAGATCTCTATTTAAAGCACTTAGCATAGGGCCTGGCTGGATTACCTGTTATGACAGTGACATATATATGGTGCTCTCCAGACAAAAATTCTTGACAGGAGGAAAACAAATCAATCAAAGTCCAGAGGTGCAAAGAGCTTTTTTATGAACAGAAAGAGAGAAGGTTAATCCTTTCTGGGAAATGAATATATGGATGGCCTTCAGATTTGATAAAATCAAAGATGATGACCTAGTCATTAAGAAGGGATTTCTTAATATAGATACAGAAAATGATTTTAAAGAGAATAAGAAGGTTAAATATGGAGTTAACACAAGGCCTTACAATCCCACTCCTAACACATCATGGGACTGTGACAACACATCATTTCCAAGGGCTCTGGTAGGGGATGGGTATGTAGCAGGTCTGAATAGCATGGAAGGAACCAGGAGCAGACACAGAATGCAGATCTCCATGGTGAGTTTTCTGCTTATGAACACTCTTTAGTGTAGTGGAAAGCATGGAATAACAATGGGGAATAGAGTCTGAGAATTAAGACAGATTGATGTTTTGTGTTGCTTTTCTCTTATGCATGAGAAAAGGAGATATTTTTCCCCCTTTATGGTTTGAAGTGATTGGCAACAACCAAGGAAATATGGGGCAGGAGATGAAAGAGAGTAGAAAAAAAAAATGAGAAATGGTGAGCACCAAAAGGGAGTTGAGATTGCAAAATGGATAACTGAAATCTAGATAGTTGAGGATAGAGGCCTGGGGAGTCTGCTTGTAGCCATCCCTAGAGGGAGGGAGAACTGGTAATTGAACTTTGTTTCACTCTGCCTGAAAAGGTCACAAATACCTATTGGGCCCTAACAGTAGGAAATAACAGTAGTTTCCATCCTTTTCCAACCTGACCAAGTGACCTTTGAGCCATCATTTAACTTCTGTGCAAACATAGCCACCCTGCTTTAATGGAGATGTTTTGAAAGTGTTGAGTGTTTGAGGTAAAACAATGTTAGAGCAAAAATGTCACGTTCAACTCTGGAGCTCTGTGTGAGCTTGGGGAGTTTCTCTCAACAGTCCACTCTGTGGGAACAAAATTAGGTACTTAGTAAATCTTCCTAATTGTTTCAGGCTACTTGGCTCCTTTATTGTGCTAAATTAAAAAAAAAAAAAAAAAAAAAAACTTACTACTGTTCCCCAGAACATTTACGTGTTTGTTAGAATACAAAACAATTAATTTCTTCTCTAATTTTCATTCCTATTTTCTGAATGAGAAAGCTGTGGTAGAAAGAGAGTTTCTTTAATCTAATCTCACAGATGCCCATGTTTGTCCTATGATTTCATACACATGGCAAGCAAATGCACTTTTGATGCAATGTAAAAGATTATTAGAGATGTCAGGCAATTTCACAGAGCAGATTTCAAGCCCAAAGCTGTGCTCGGCCTCCTACACTCTCACGTATATGCAAACGGATGGCCTACTTAAGAGTGACGGTCTCTCTCAGAACTCCTAAACCCTCCTAAAAATCTCTGTTCATTCAAGATGATCATTCTGATGTTATTGTAGTTGTTGATCACAGTCTGGACTTCATTATTGCTGGGTCTTAGCTTCAGAGCAGGTGGAAATTATGTAGCTGGAAGACATGAATACCTGAAAGCAAGAATGACACCAATCAACAAACCTCATCTCCCAGGCATTGTTAAAACAATCAGGCCTTATTATAAAGCTGGGACAAGAAGTAAGAACTTTATTTATAATGCACGTAATAACATATCGGGACTATGGTATATAAAAAATACATTTCAAAGTAGCATGGGGACCTATTTTAACCTCAAAAGATCTATAAATATGACTTAAAAGTAGCAAAGCTGGAACTAGCTCCAGGTTTCCAGACTCCTGTCCACTACTCTTACCATTACGTCAAGGGAAACTGCCCCATGGGAAGGATCAAGAGTATAGATTAAAAAATATCCAGGATCCTTATAGTATGTGTGGTGTCTTCTTTCTGGGAAGAGTTTTGGCTTCTCCAGTTCCCAGTACAATTGTAAGGACTTGCCTGCAGGTGCTGGCTGATTGATTGGAAGATCTTCTTCCCTGGAAACCATTAAAAGATCATAGGCAAACGTCTGTCCTGGGGGTTCAGATAAATTGGCATCAAGGCAGGAGATTAGAACATGTCATATTGATTTACAGCAAGATGAACTGTTGGGTCTTTAGTTCAGATACCCTTGTGCTCTCCTAATCTGTTATTACAATCATCATCTACGTTTTCCACTTACATTTTAAATAGCTTGCTGGAATAGGGTGTTTCCTCTTTCATTCCTCAGGTTGTTGTTTCTCGAACAGTATCATCCACCCCTCATGTGAATTTTCGCCTGGATTCCCACCCTGTGTCCCCAGAAGTGATTGTGGAGCACCCATTAAACCAAAATGGCTACACCCTGGTTATCACTGGGAAAAAGGTAAGCCCTATTCCCACGGGGAGTTTCCATGGATATGGTTCTTCCTGAATGGATACTTCTTGCCAACAGCATTCAATTTTTATAATTTCTCTCTTCATCTCAGATTCTTATCTCCTCCATTAAGTTATATTTTTGGGGGTATTCCAGAGAACTTCTGAAATAAAGTTAATTTCTTATCCAAAGAAGATTAGGCCTAAGGGAGGTCTTCTTCATAATAAGTACTTCTCCTTTAGTTTCTCAATGAGAAAAATGAATACAGAATAAGAAATACAGTCCTAAAGGTAGAGCTCCAGTGCAGGCAGATAAATCCTGGAAATGTACATTGGAATCTGACTCCAGCCAGTAATCTCTGTTCTCTGAGAGAAGGATGTGCATCCTGATACCAGAATGATATGTAACCTTACTTAGAAGTTCCAAGGGTTCAAGTGTGTCTTCCTGAAGCTTAAATTATAATACTCCCTTGTATATTTTAAAATCATCTCAGACAGGGCCAAATGTCCTTACTATATCAAACCTCTAACATTGCGTCACAATGCTTGTGTTCCTCAATATTACATTTTATTACAGAGATGCCAACAGTAGAGGGAAGGAATTTGATTTTTAAAAAATTCTAATCACTTAACCATTATTAGTTGATTTGCACATCAGTGCTTGCTATTCTAGCAGACTCCATAAAATTATGTTCATATGTAGCTTCTGTGTATTCTAATTGTTCTTAAACAACAAAAACACCTCTGGAAGCCCTTTTTATTTCTTTTCTTTACAGATCACCAAGATCCCGTTGAATGGCTTGGGCTGTGGACACTTCCAGTCCTGCAGTCAGTGTCTCTCTGCCCCTCCTTTTGTGCAGTGTGGTTGGTGCCATGATCAATGTGTGCGATCAGACGAATGTCCCAGTGGGACTCAGGAGATCTGTCTGCCTACAGTCTATAAGGTAGGAATATCTATCAGCTGTCATGCAGGGGTTTTTTTGTTTGTTTGTTTTTGTTTTTTGTTTTGGTAATTCCAAATCCCACTAATGAAAAAAAATCCAAAACTTAATTTCCTAATTTAGCTGTGACACATCAGCCAAAGCACCATCTCCCTCCTGGCTTTGTCCCCATAGGCAGCATTGGAGCACCCCCTGAGTCCTGCAGTTGAAGTGCTTGCTTGCCATGCACTAGGTTTTCTCTTTGGACAGCTGCTGTCCCTTATGCTATGTGCACAGCAGAGCAGTGGCTAATGAGCAACGTTTTTCCCCATTTCTTCATGCTGGGACCTGTTTCCTCCTGAGTGGCCCATTCTGATTCCTCATTACCTACTTTATGCCAGGTGCCCAGACATGACCCTCCACCAAAAAGACAGATCTGTTCATACCCCAGAACTCCAAGCTGAAGGAACCATACAACCTGACAATCCCAGACATATTGGGGCAGACAGAATACACTTCTTCCTGTCCGAGGCATAGATGATAGAGGGTGGCCTTGTGTCAATCACAGATGAGGCTAGAGGTGGTTTCTTAGGTTGATATGGGAAGAAAGGAGGGGGTCAACACTCATGGTGACTGGGTGTCTTGTCTCAATATGCCTGAATGAGAAGTAAAGTTTCCACTGATGACTATATTGTTATCTATACTTCTATAAGCCACTTCATCTTTAATCACTCCAGAAACTTGTACTGAATACACACTACATGGACAGCTCTCTTCTAGACTCTGGGGACATACAGTCCAAAATAAATACAAAGGATACTCCTGCTGCTAGAGAACTTAGCTTCTGGAAGTGGACGTCAGTCAATAACATGGCAGACACACTCTCTGGTTACCTTATTTGCTTAAGCATATATTTGGCACTATGAAAATTTCTAAAAGTTTCTTCGTCCAAATACATTTTGCTTGGAAATACTTAACCAGTGAGGACTCAGTATGTGTTTTCTCTGCCTGCATGTTGAACAGTTGGACTTTAGTAAATGGTTCTTGTGAAATATTCAAGTTAAAGGTCTCCAGTCACCTGGTTCAGGCTCAAGTAAACAAAGTGTGCAAGTCAGAACAAGAATGGCCCCCAAGCACATGGCTGTTTTCATTTAGTTACGGTTTGGGGCAAGATTTGCAGTGGTGACTGGGTTTTAAACCAAATCATTTTCTGTTAGATGTGACACAACTCTCAGGCCTTAGCTTGATCATCTGGAGAATAAACTAAAAGAGAATAAGAAAAGAATTTTAGTCTATAGTATTTATGTACATTTTTGTTGTTGTTGTCCAGTATACTTATAAAACCCACATGCAATTTTATACTTTTATAAACACACAGCCTTGGCAATTTGAGACACTAGAAATTTGAGCTCTTCTTATTCCATGAAAAAGATATAGTGTATGTGTTTGTGCATGTGTGTGTGTTGTGCGTGCACACACACTCATATGCACAATTAAATTGCAACAATTTCATTTCAAAAATAGCCAAGTTGGGGTTTTAAGAAATCAAGTTGATAACTAGCCCAAATAAAACATTTAATTTTGACCACCTTTTACTAATCATGAAAGCCATAGAAAATGGTTGAAAACAAAGTAAACATTTTTTTTAGAATTTTCTGGAAACAGAGATTGTCTCAAATGTTAGAATCTCCCTCCTCTCTTACCTTCCCTCACTGCAGCACTCAGCAGTTGTTGATTTTGAAAGGTTGCATTGTATCATGCACAAGTCGATGAGGCGTGGGCTGTGCAGTTAGAAGCAAAGCTGTGCAGCTGAGTCCATAAATCCCTTTCAGTTCATAGTTGTTAGGAAGATTTCATGCTGTGCTAGACCGTGACATTTAGCATTCTCACTGCAAAAAAATAAGACAGATTATTCGTCTTTTTCTTATCTGTCTTAAACTCTACCCGCTCAAGATCCAGATACTGTATAGAGTTTCACTTTCCAATACATGAATGTTAACCTGTTTTTCAAGGTACATGATGTTCAATGGCTGAAAATCTTTGCAGTTCCAGATATGAGAGATTTCAGGATTGTAAGCCCTTTATTTGTTTCAAACATGTCATCTGATCTGTACTTAAAGAGCAATGAGAAATGCTTCAGAAAAGGAAGAGCACTTTCCCAGTGTTTTCTGAATTTGTCAGTATAAAACTGTCACATCTTATAGAACTGAAGTCAATCCCAGTGAGGCAATAAAACTGTTTATTAATTGATCAGAAGATTCAGATAAGAAGCAACAGCAATATCTTCTGGGGGTAGAGGATGTGCAGGCACTAAACTGCTACCATCATATTTTTGACTATTTTTCTGCTAAAGCAGAAAGGAGGTTTCCTTTGTGAATTTTAATATTCAAGGCTTTTATAAGCTTTCTTAGATTTTATCTTAATGCATTTAAAAAGCATGATCATTTAAAATACTTTTGGAATGGATCCACCAGTGGCACAGTCTCTCACCTATAAGAGGAAGAGAGCTACTTTTGTGGCTCCATCTCCCTTGTTCAGACAGATAGGCCACCCAGCCTCTGCGGCTTTATGCCGGACACTCATTTCCTGCACAGGGAGTTTCTCTGCACTTCAGGATAGCTGAGTTTGCCAGCCCATTGTTGGGTCTATCCAAGGGTGTGTGGTCCACGGCTGCTTCCTTCCTCTTCCTCTGGAAGAATGAAGGTTACCCCCAAAAGCTAAGGGAAAAATGCTCAGCCCAGAATAAAGACAAACCTAGCTGGCTTTTCAAATTCTGAGGATCTAGGAGCGGGTTGATAATATCCATTTCTACTGCCAGGACACCAAATCAGTGTCTTCTCAAATCATCACCCAGTGCCTTTACCTTTCATACAAGAGATGATGTGTAGCATATGCCTGTAATCCCAGCAACTTTGGAGGCTGAGACTGCAGGAGTGCAAGCTCAAGTTCATTTGCCAGCCTTGGCAACTTAGGAAGACCCTTTTTCAAAATCATATATAAAAAGGTCTGGGGATATAAGATGCATCTCAGTGGTAGAATGCCCCTGTACAAAAGAGAGGGGGCAGGGGGCAGAGAGAATGTGTGTATTAAGTGACAGTCTTCAGTTTTTACTTAGAGATGGGGGGTGTAGGCAGTGGGATGGGGCCGACATCAGCCTTGGGCAGCTGCTTTGGATGGGGAAGTCTCCTCCTCAGAAATGGGAATAGCAGCTGTGTGATGGCTGTAGGCTGAAGAGAGTCCTGGGAGGTTTGGATGTCCTATTCTCTCCTACTGGATTTCTAACATAATAATAAACAGATTTTTTTTCCTAACAATGCTGATTTGCTGGACGTGGATGAGGTAAATTTTTATGAAAGGAACAACTGTGTAATGGATTTGTATGGGTAGAATGGCCGTCATAAAAGCATTAAGCTGAGACTTTAAAAGGGTTTGGTAACAAGGGTTAAGTTAAGACTTTGGCTTGCAATTATTTACTTAGGAAGGATGGGAATGTTTGCAAATTTGAATTTTGCTGAAAAGTCCTCTCAGTTGTCAGATTTACACAAAGTGGGCTTTAGCAAACACCTTTGCTGGGTTTTGAGTTGCCTCTATCTTGGTGCTACGGTTTCCCACCATTGTACTTCACAGCACAATTTACAATATGTCCCCCCAAAAGAGCATTTCCTTTCTCAATTGTCACAAAGCTGCCCAAGAAAAGCTTATTTTTAACTTGCAAATGTGTTTTGTTTAACTAGTTTTAACCTAAGAACAGTTGTCTTACAAACTTCAAAAGCACTGAATGCTGTCTTATATCATAGTTGCCAACATTTTAGTTACAAATTAAAATTTCACTTTTAACACACCAAAAATGAGCCTGTATTGATACAGTGAACCTGTTATTTACTGACCATTGAACATGTCATGAGGCAAAAAAAAAAAAAAATTCTTCAAAATAAGATGTAAAATAATATCAATGGAGAGAATTAGAAAAAATTTTACCATGTGGATTTGAGGTGCTCTCCAGTTCTGAGCATTTTTTTTCTACTTCCAATAGAAATAATATATTGTATGTACTGAATATCACATAATTTTTAATAGTACATTATGTATTTTCTGTACATCAAATAGTGACCATCTTTGGAAAATAATGAAAAATCTTGAGTCTATGATATAAAGTGTGAATTATTAGGCTTTAAGAAGTAGATTCACTTATTTATTTGTTGGTGCCTGGAACATAGGAGAAATAATGAATGAATGGGTGGCAGATATGAATACCATCAATATGTTGGATATTAGGGTAACTGCCTATTTATCAGCACTATTTTGGGGGTGTGTCTCATTGAGCCATCCCCAAAGTCCTCCCTAGCCAAGGAGAAATTCATACTGTAAAAAAATGCTGGGTACCAAGAGAAGTGTTTTTACAGTATGAATTTCTCCTTGTCTGGGGAGCCTCATTGGACACAGAGAAAGGCATACATTGGATCTTGGCTTACAGGGCCTGTCAAAGAGGTTGGATCATTTTGATCTGGAGACCATGAAGAAATTATAATCAGTTACAAGCAGTGACTACTGCTACCCAAAAAAGCCCAAGAAATTAATTAATTTCAGAGTGGCCCAAAAGACCTCCCCATTCCCACCCGGACTCTCTGCTCTTTGTCCCATTTCTGATTCTCCTGAAAATAGCTTATTTCATAGCATGATTAGGTAGTTTTAATGTTTGTTCCAGATGCTCTGGAATTTGAAACCCTTTCCTTCAGTAAAAAATTCAACCTTTACTGAATTGTGGGAGAATGGAAAAATTTCATGCTCTTGAAGGATACATTGTTTTCCACACATGAAAAATAATAATACATTGGATTTTTTTTTCTAAAGTTCTACATTGTCCTTATAGGTTTTTCCAACTAGTGCACCCCTTGAAGGAGGGACAATGCTGACCATATGTGGCTGGGACTTTGGATTCAAGAAGAACAATAAATTTGATTTAAAAAAAACCAAAGTTCTCCTTGGAAATGAGAGCTGCACCTTGACCTTAAGTGAGAGCACAAAAAATACGTAAGGATCTTAAAGTGTTTTGCTGGGTTGGGTTTTGTTTTTGAAAGTGTTTGTAAAAAGAAAAAAAAAAAAAATTGTACAGAAAGCTCGTTTCTTAAATTAATGAGGGCCTTGGATGCACGTCCTTTGTAGGTTTGTTTTGTTCTTTCCCTATTTACTTATGGGGATTAGGGAAAGACAAAATGATATAGTCTACATGAAGTTTTTCAACCATTTATGTAACACCTCTTCAGAAATTGTCTGGGTAGATTTGAAAGCATGACACTCCATCCTTAGAGTCTTCAGATACAGTCTCCAAGACATTTTTTTATTTAAAAAAAAAAAAAAAAAAGGTAAAGTGCTCAAAGTATATATCCTATCTTTTTAATTCATCTGCTAAACCTTGGTAGTGTATTAAAGTCACTCAGTCACATATTTAAGTCTCTTTTTGGATGAACTAAAATTTATTAAGCCACTATTTATCAGCACCATTTTTGGGGTGTGTCTCATTGAGCCATCCCCAAAGTCCTGGGAATGGTAACTTATTTTACAAAAGAAGTCCTCAGAATTCAGAGAGGTAGAGTGAAACTTAGCAGAGATATTCCAGAGAGTCAGAAATGGGCTTTCAAACACAGCTGTTCAGATCCAAGATCTGTGCTTATTCTACTAAATGCTACATGTACTTTTGTTTAAAAGATTTTTTTATTGGTGCATTATAATTATACATAATAATGGGCCTTGTTGTTATATATTCACATATGCACATAACGTAATTTCATCAGTTTCTTTCTATAACTGCTGCATTCCATAATGAACAGACAATCTGGAAATTATCAGTTATGTAGCAACAACAACCAAAGTTTTATTTGTTGAATCTTTATGCCGAACCTATTCTATCAAGTGATTATTTTATCTAAAAACAGAATTTACTCCAAGGTTATAAAAGATCTAAATTCCTTCATTTTATTGAAACTGAAACATCAATTAATGTCATATGTGCTAGCTCAATGACAAAATAAATTTATTCTAGAAATCTCCTGTGTAAGTTTTCCAAAACTCTTTTAATTACTGCATCATAAATTAGGATTTGTAAAACTGAAACATAATCATTATCTTCTTTTATAGTTACTTAAGAAAACAAATAATATACAATTTTTTTTCAGAACTATAAGATTATTTATTCAGAAATAATTTTATGGAAAGCTATCACAATTTCACTATTCTTTAAGTAATTTAAATAAACATGTCACAAGTATAGTTACAGAAATGTACCTGATGAAAAACTTTGATGGAGGATTTGGCTTATTTGTAGCTTGCACATTGTTTCATATGATACTGAATACCATTGCTTTATCCTAAGTGTGTCAGACATTATCCCTACAATTTTATAGGTTTAGATTATGATTTACTTTTAAGTTGGGGAGGTCTGCATTGATCAGGTCTAACATTTCCTGTTTTAAATGTGTAAATACTATACTATAGTCAATATAAAGTTTAGCATAATAGTACAGAAATCAGATTATACAGTTTTCAGTCCTAATGCTTAATGAAACTGCTTGCTATGCAGAGTGAGTTAGCTCATTATGGAGTTCATATCCCATCATAAAAGACAACCTAACCAGAAAATGTCTGTGGATTTCTAACATATTAAACTTTGCTTTTTTTCAGGCTAAAATGCACAGTTGGTCCTGCTATGAATGAAAATTTCAATCTGTCCATAACTATTTCAAACAGTCGGGGCACAGCACAATATAGTACATTTTCTTATGTAGTAAGTCTAAGCATTCTTTTCTCATGAACTAGGGATGAATGATTTTTACTTAGTTTATTTATAATTATAAAACTAAAAAGTTACTTTGTTTTGTTTTTGTCTTCTATTCAGGATCCTATAATAACCAGTATTTCTCCAAGCTATGGTCCCAAGGCTGGAGGCACTTTACTTACTTTAACTGGAAAGTATCTAAACAGTGGGAATTCTAGACACATTTCAATTGGTGGAAAAACATGTACTTTAAAAAGGTGTTGTGAATTTCTTTTTTGTTGCATCTGCCAAGTTAGATTACTATCTTAACAAATCAAGCCAAGTTTGTGCCTTTTTGTGTGAAGAAAAATCAAGATGTTTATTATTTACTCTCTTGCTAACAAGACTCTCTCCTTCCCAAATCCATCTACTCTTTTGCTGAATTTTCTACCTTTCCCTTTTTATTTATTAATCCCACTTTTGAATTTTGTCTTCCCATTCATCCTCTTTTTTGTTGTATCTCAATATTGAAGCTTTATTATGAGCTTGAGGTTCTGGTAATTGACAACAGATTAAACTGTTCAAGTGAGATTTAAAATTAGAATAAGTCAGTTTGGAGAGAAATGGGGGAAATTGGATTTGGAAGGAGGTTACATTTCTGCTTTTTGGAGTTGAAAGAGATGAGTTCCTTCAAGTGACGAAAATACTTTAAAGGTTGCTGAAAATGCCAAATGTTTTGAAGACAAGGATGGCCTTTCAACAACAAGGTTAAGTTTGGGCTCTAGTCAAATGTAAACAGCCTACACTAGAAAAGGCTTTTATCTAGATCACTGCAGGAAATTCCCATTTAGGAGCTATTGAGTTATACCCTTTGATTTATGGATCCTTTATAATTCTAAATTATGTGTATCTCTAATAGCTAAGGTTCATTGTCTTATTTTATTTTATTATTTTTTGTTGTCATTCAGTGTGTCAAATAGTATTCTCGAATGTTATACCCCAGCCCAAACCATTTCAGCTGAGTTTCCGGTGAAATTGAAAATTGACTTAGCCAACCGAGAGACCAGCAGCTTCAGTTACCGGGAAGACCCCGTTGTCTCTGAAATTCAACCAACCAAATCCTTTATTAGGTAAGTAAAAACTTCTGACAGTGTAAGAAACTAATGGACATAGGGATTATTTGGCTGTATAGAAGAGTCAAGAAAAGTTGCAGTTTTATCGCTGGCATTTTTCTTTCAGGACTGACTTTCCGATTCGGTAGAAAAAAACTGCATTTAAGTTTTGAGTATTTTTGATTATATCAATGCTAGTTTATGCCTGGAAGATTTCATCCTATTTTATTACATTTTAAACAAATTACCATAAAATAGTTTAAGGTGACATCATAGTATGTAAGCACATATATTACACATGCATCAATTCTATACTAATCACAGTGCAAGAAAAAAAAATCCTTTTTTCCACTCTTCATTGTATTTTTTGTCAGTCCTGCTTTGCACAGCTTTTCCCCATACCAGGCTCCCTTTGAATCAGTATCTCGTTGGACTCTGTTCAATTTGCCCTATTTCCGCTATTTCTATCAGTCTAGCAATGATAGTTACATATGTTTTTCTTTGTATTTTTTCAAAGAAAAAAAATTTCTATTGTGTATTTTGTAAATAAAAATCCAATTTTCAGCATTTTTTGGCTTATGAAATATGAACTTGAACTCATATTTTCAAGTTAAATAAGTTATTTCCAAAAAAGAGTTACAACCCCCCAAACTTCCATTTGATTTTGGCGGTTCCTCTGACATGTAATCACAGCTTTTGACAAAAATTGAACCTCTCTCTTAAAATGCTTGGTGGAAAGAACCTCTCAATATTACCATTTTTCTATTTTATTTTGCCAGTGGTGGGAGCACAATAATAGGAGTTGGAAAAAATCTGAATTCAGTTAGCGTCCCAAGACTGGTAATAAATGTGCATGAAGCAGGAAGGAACTATACAGTGGTAAGTCCTTGGAATGATGGTTCCACTCAGAATTCTGCATCTCGACTCTACCACCTGGCTTTCAGGACACGTGGGACGTTTCAGTTTTGCCTTTAGGGTTTGCTAGTTACCTTCTTACAGCATAGATGAAATTGTGTTTTTTTATTCAACAATTAAAATTATTTGGTTAATAAAATATTGTTATCTTAGTCGTAGAGAACTGATGTCTTCTAAATTAATTGGGCTGACATTGTAAACGTGTACACACACACACACACACACACACACACACTGTTTAGAAGCAAATGAAGATTACCAACTGGAGACAGTGTTGCAGTGTTTTTAAAGACAGTGAATATAGAAATCTCAGCATTCCTCCAGCCCCCTAGGGCATCATAGACTATTGACCCTTTTGTCCTGATAAAACCCTTGGATAAAGCCTTTGACCTTGCTACAGCATCTTTCTGAAGCAGCAGACTACAATGTTTTCTTAACCTTCCATTCTTCTTATCATTCTTCCTGCCCCTTTGTTAATACATTATCAAGTAATGAGAGAGCATTAAACTAGTTATCTCCTAGAGTGTGGATATTATTTATCTTTTTTCCATCTTTTCTTATTTATTTGCAAGATCAATCAGAATTTAACTGAATACCTCCTTAAAAGTGACTGGCCCATTAATTTCAGTGGGTCACCTTAAAATGGTCATTTTTATTTAGAATTTAGGAAGGTTGGAGTTATTTCCAGTGGCCCCATACTTTGTGTTGATGTGTTTTTCTAATCTAGTTGGACTTGTGCACTCAACTTAGAATGAAAGTTCTAAGTGCTCCCGTTCAACAGGGTCTGGACAGGGCAAGTGATAGATTGAATTACAGCACTTTCTTTGAGATTTCTCATCCAATATTTCTTGAAGCCTAAACCCACCATGTTCTTTAATTACAAAAACCAATTTGGGGCTAAAAATGTCAAGCTAAATCACCAAACCATAGGGTCATCTCAAATGAGATTTTTCTTGACCTTCTCAATCAGCCACATTGCATCACCTCTAAAGGGTATTATTAGATTTTTATCATATTCCTGAGAGATTGTACTCCAGAGAGTCACCGCATGAAGTAAAAGGCTTTGAAGACAATCCCCACACATGGCCACAAACAATGTTAGAATACCACTGCTATTAATTTGGAAGGCATCAGTTCTCCACGACTAAGATAACAATATTTCATCAACCAAATAAGAACAGCAGTAACCCTCTTTGGTATTGGCATGTGACTTTTTAAAGTAGAAATCCAAGAAATTATTAATTTATCTAATTGATAACAAACCTACATTATTAAAATAATAACTAAATTAGCTTTGATTTCCCTCACCAGCATTAAAATGACAGATAGAACAGCTCTTAGCTTCATTCATTTATATGTAATCAAATAATTACTGAAAACTTTCTAGGTATCAGAGATGCATATCCCAGGGAAGAGCTAGGCAATGATAGAAGATAAAAATCTTATCTGTTAACATGTCTGGAAATGTAAACTTTCATTGCTTAAGCCACAAACAGGTTGTTACAATAGAACATTTATTATTTAACAAATAAAAACTCATGGTCAAGTCTGATTTATATATATCTCCAGCTACAATAACTTTAATCCAATAAACTCAAATCTTTTAAAATGAAAATAATTGCCTTCTCAAAGCTAGGGGTGTAACTTAGTGGTAGAGCACTTGTCTAGCATGCAGGTGGCTTGGATTCAATCTCCAGCACCACACACAAATCATTATAATAATAATGATCTTCTTAACAAAAGATATATTAATTTGTTAATGCACATTATATCCCAGAAGCCTGCTGGTTATTGTGTAGCTCCGAATTATTGTTGTTATATGGAAAATCATTGTGATGACAATAAAATTGTTCATTTTCACTTTTCAAGATGGTAGGAATATTTTTTAGCATTACAGCATTAATTTGAGATAAAACTAAATTATATCGGTTTTAGTTCATATCATATCACTGTTTTATCTGCTTACAACACATATTTTTAAATGTAGACTAAATGTTTAAATTATTTTTAAAACAACATATCAAGCACCAAATTCTGTTTGTGCTTTTTATGAATATCCTGAGGCCTTTTTCTATTGTGGCATAAGTAATTGTTTTATCTCCAACTATACTTGTCAAAGAAAAGGAAATCTAAGGGATGTTGTTGCTTGTTTGTCCTTTCCTTGGGGGGAGAAAAAACCACAACTGTTTAACCTTAAATGTACCACTTTGTATTGCTGGCTTCAGTCTAAGTACAATCAAGAGGAAACTACATTTTCCAAAATTCCATAAATCAGAATTTCAAAGGGGAAGATTTGAAATGAGAGATGAAAGCCCATGAAATAATAATAGCTGAGCCTTTTTAAAATAGAGAGCATAGGAAGAGATGTACCAATGTAGAATATATAATAAACACAAAGCAAAACATGGGCACTACAACAGTGAGTGTCATCTGTAATGGCCTGAGATATATGCACTCCACTCTGTCTCTTAGAGCTGTGACCTGATCTAATGAACTCTGCCAAGCTCAGTTTCTTCCTCTGTAAACTGGATGCTCATAGCACGTATCTTCAGGATTATCAGAGAATTAAATGAGATCAACCTTATAAAACATTCTACACAGAACCTAGAACTCAATGGTTAATAGCTTAAAACACTATCAACATTATCTAACTACATATTTACTCACATCTTAACCATACGATACTTGGTAATTTGTGAAGCACTTTGCCATACAATGTCCTGCATTGTGAATCACTTTTTAATCTTTATTCCTAAATAAGGAAACTGAGTTTCTAAGGAAGGGCTTTGCCTCTGTTCTCACAGCTTGAGTTAAAGCTAGGATCTAGACCAAGGACTTCTAACCCCAAAGTCCAGCTTCCACTCATACATAGCTGCTTCACAAGACCAGAAGGCAGTCTATCCAGGTCACTGTCCTGTCTTAAGGAAAATAAAATGATGGAGTGAGGGCTAGTTGCAGATAGATCAACATAGCTTTTTCTCGGCCAGTGCAGCTGTGTTCCTCCGAAGACTGGATTGTTTGAAAAATTTTGCATCTTCCAAGTTTCTAGAATTGTGTTCTTGAACATTAGGAAATTAAATGCAGATTTTTTTTGACAATTGTGTATTTTCAGTTGAAGTTGTGAAATGTGAAAGTTACTATGTATTTTGTCATACTCTGTCCTGTTGACAGTGGGTATTTTGTCTTCCTATAGGCATGTCAGCATCGCTCAAATTCAGAGATAATTTGCTGCACAACTCCCTCACTGCAACAGCTGAATCTGCAACTCCCACTGAAGACCAAAGCCTTGTTCGTGTTAGACGGGATCCTTTCCAAATACTTTGATCTCACTTATGTACATAATCCTGTGTTTAAGCCTTTTGAAAAGCCAGTGGTGATCTCAATGGGTAATGAAAATGTACTAGAAATTAAGGTAAGAATTGCTTTAAATGCTCTCTGAAGTCATCAACTTGAACTTTATTGACTTTATGTGAATAGAATAATTATACTTGGTCATTGTATATTATGATACATCAGCAAATGCCTAAGCTCTGAATAACCAATTTTTTGACATAAGACTAAAAGATAAGTTTAATTGTGGATAGCTTTTTAATGAAGTATTTTAAAACCCTTCCTTGGTGTATGTTTAAAAGTAGCAAATGCAGAACGCAAATCTATTTAAATAGGCTTCCTGTAATTCATTGTCCTGATGGTGCTATGCTTTTCTTATTTCAACTGAATGTGCTCATTGTAAGATACAAAGTAAGGACCATGAAAGTAAGTGCAAAATTGCAATTCTGTATTTTCTTATAATACGTGGAACTTTCTATCTGGGCGTTGTCACCTCTAAGCTGATTTATAAATGGAACTGGATTTCTCCCATCTTAGGAATATGTTAGCTTCTAAATATAATTTAATAGAGATAAATAACAGATCATCTTTCTAAGCCAGGCTATTGCAAATAAAGAACACTGAAGTCCAGAGGGGTTAAGTGGTTTGACAAGTGATGAAATAGTAGAACAAAGACTAGAATATAACTCTGTCAGGTCACTTCAGTCATTTTTACTTCAAATAATAATGAAATAGACAAAATGATTAGGACTTTAATTATCCATAGCCCTAGTCATTAAAAACAGCAATATGTTCATCCTGCAATGTATTGTTGTACACATTCAGAAAATTTTTGTGAAAGATTATCTGCATGCAAATATGAATGAACACAGAGCAACAGGAGCATCCTTATTTAACAATAAAATAGCTTGTCATAGGTCATCTCCATCTAACCAATGTCTCTACTGAAATTTTCCTGATTTTTCCACCAGATTTTTCTATCAGAGTTATCTGTCGACTAACTCGTGCACACACTACACTCATACAAGTTTACTAACCCCACAATTGTGTTTTGCACAATAATTAAGCAGTCCCAGCATGAAATTAAATGGAAGCCTGCTTCAATGAACAGCGCGTTTACCACAGCAGAGTTCTTTCATCTGCTTCTTTAATTAGTTTTAGAAAAGAAGAAAGAGCTTTTATCACTTTTTTTTTCAATAAAACTAATCTAGTGTGACCTTTTGCTTTCAACAATTACTGTGTTTGCTGTTTGAAAGATTCCATTTGGTTTTCTTGATGAAAACAAAGGTTTATGTGCAAAGAGTTTTACGCCCAAAGAAACTCTATTTTCTGTTTCTGTATCTATGATGGACAGATGAGAGATAAATCATTCTTTATCTACACTTCCAAGCACAGTGTTGTGCAGAAGAGAAAACTTCTTTTTCGATAAAGTAAATACCCATTATTCAACATCCTTCAAAATTGTTGGACCAAGAAAAACGTGATTTGACATCATCCTCATCCTATTAGTGGTATTTCTAACATAGCCCAAGGGGTTTCTGGAGACAAGCACAAAGCACTTCCTTTTCTTGGCTATATAAAGATTTACTCTTTTTCTCTAACAAGTGTATAGCCCCCTGCCATGTCACAGAGCAGTAAATAGTGGGGCCAGTAGCAATGGTTTTGGTATCATGATTCAATTCCTTATTCCATTTTCCTTAAGTATAAGAAGGAATGTAAGGTGTACAGGAATGTTTATGCATTTATTATGACAGTGATTTAACCCTTTCTTGAGGCAGAAACAAAAGGAAATGAAGCATAAAAAGAGAAGGCTTTTTTCTGGAAAAGCAACAGTGTGTTTTTATCAAAAGAAAGGCAACCTTGGGCTGGGGTTGTGGCTCAGCTGTAGAGCGTTCACCTAGCACATGTAAGGCCCTGGGTTCAATCCTCAGCACCACATAAAAATAAATAAAGTAAAAGTATTGTGTCCATCTACAACTAAAATAAATAAATAAATATTTTTTTAAAAAAGAAAGGTGACCATTTTATTTCATATTGGGCTTGTTCAATTACCATTCAAACCATGAGTGAAAAGCGTGTTTGTCTTTCACCAGTGAAAGTGCTGTGGAGACAACAATGTATTTGAAGTGAGATTTATTCTTTACTTCCGGGTAGAGCTCATGGTCCTTAACCAAACATTCCTGAAGGAATCCCTTGGCTAAAGAAGGGATTATGGAAGTTTCCAGTCCTAGTTTTAAGAGTTGCCTCAGTGAACAGTTAACCCAGTGACAAAACAGTGTGCTAAAGGGCAGCCAAGTTTGAAGCAAGAGAACACAATAGGTGCCAAAGATCAGTCACTGCTCAGAATGAATTAGAAGCCCCACTTGAATCAAAGTGTGAAATATGATATGTCAAGAAATATGTAATGTTTTGAACAACCAACAATAAAAAATTAAAAAAAATAAAAGAGAAGCCCCATGGATGTAGGAGGGAGTTCATGAACAAGTCTTCAATTCCTTGAAGCCAGTTGTGGACCGAACACATGGTAGAACACAGTGCCCCTATCAACAGCAGCTCACACTTAGGAGGAAATTTACAGTGAATCCAGTACTTTGACATATATTATTTCATTTGAACTTTACATGGACCTATGAGGTTTGGAGGTCAGTAATGGTTATCCCCATTTTTAGTTAGAAAAACAGGTTTAGAGAGATTAGTAACAGCACTAGGGCTCACATTCCAGATTCTTGAATCCAAATTCCAGCAAATTAACTAAATTGCAAAGCTTCTCATATTAATCTTCATTAAATGTATGCCAAAATAAATAAAATACCCTTCATAAAAGAAAAATGTTTCTATCATATGCTATGTAGATATCTCTACAGTTCTTTAAGTGAAATAGCTCTAAACTTTTTACAAACATCTAAATATGATTATGTTTAAAGAAACCTTATATTTTCCCTATTTGTCTTATTATGTGACTTTTTGTGCATGGACATATTTCCTGGAAAGTAGTCACTAGAGAAGTACATGGAATGAGGATGGCCTGACACTGCCCAGGAGTTTAATCCTATTCTAGTGCATATAGAGATATATGGTAATAGACATGCTTCAAAAGACCAATCTGGAAAACTCAGCTCAAACAGAAAAGGGGGGCAGGAAGATGAGCAGAGGCAGGGAATAGGGACTCAATTATGACACAGTGAACACAAGGACAAATGTTGAGAGCTCAGGTGGAGGCCAGTCATCAATTACTAAGCATGAAAAAGGCCTAGATGAGACCATCATTCTGAACCAGCCAACTCCAACCAGAGGTTGTATTCTTCCTTCCACCACTAATTTACCTACAACTGTAGGCCAACCCCACTCACAACTACCCTGAGGCCAGTTCTCACTCCAGACTAGGTGGAAGGGAATGGTTTTCTTTCTCAGGCCACTGGATTCAGCATCAACATTTATTTGATGGCACTGATATCTTACTCTCCAATAGTGTTCTCCTGGGCTGCATACAGTAGGTATTCTGTGAAAACATGTATCCCAGTACACACAGACAAGCACCTGTGGTTCCGCAGTGGTTCCCTAAGTACAGAAGTAGTAAAGGTCCCCAGTAACCAGTGAAGAAACCAGCTTAGTTTTGGTTAGTCTCAAAGCTACAGGAAACTTTTTCCTTCAGTTACCTGTTGAAATCTTGCTGAACTCAGTTTGAAAACTTTCTGTGAAGGTTCTGTGCCTGGATTCTAAGCGAGGTACTTACACCCCCAAGTAAAGTGTTTATCTCATTCACCCCACCACCCAGTCACTGATTTCCGGCTGACGACCTCCCTGAACTTAACTGTTCCTGTCTGTGTGCTGCTACCAACGTGCACCTTACTGCTTTCACTGACTCAAACTCATCACTACCACCTGGATGTGAAAACATGCAGGATCCCTTCTATTATATTGCAATTTTTCAACTCTTACTCATTTCCACTCCTATTTGCTCCATTCTGTTGCCATCTCAGACTTGTAGCATCCCCAGGCCTGAATAGAGTAGAAACATTGTGTCTCCGCCAGATGGGGTGATGCACACCTGTAATCTCAGCACTCTGGAGGCTGAGGCAGGAAGATGGCAAGTTCAAGACCAGATTCAGCAATTTAGCAAGGCCCTGAGCAACTTAGGAAGACCATGTCTCAAAATTAAAAAAAAAAAAAAAAAAGGTAGCAAGGGCTGGTCATTAGCTCAGTGGCAAAGTACCCCTAGGTTCAATCCCCAGTACCAAAAAGAAAAAGAATCTCACCTGGCCAGAGTAGGAGAGGGAAAAGGCAAAGTGTATCCTAATGTAATACATTGGGAACCATTGGTATTCGTTTTAGAAATGCACCCATTTACCATTACAATGAAACTCTATTCATCTTTATATTCTCATTGGGGAGACCTGGGTCTAACACATGGTAGATGGTAAGCAGATTTTTATCCAATAGAATTTGATGTCCTTTGTGATCTAGTCCTTTCTTGAAACTCAGTTGTCTGTATGTAATGCAGGAATTACAGTAATACCTAGATGGGGATGTCTTTGCAGGACAGAATGAGATAATTATAACTCTTCATTGTTCTATATGCATACGGGATTAAAGATCAGAAATTTCCTCTTCTGTTGCTTTATTTAAAAGCCCATATTTTATCATTTCAGTGACTAAAGAACTGAGCTGATTTTGTAAATGTGTTATCTTTTTAATAATAGTTGATAGTCAATGATAAATAGTAAAAAGCAAATAATAAGAGTCCTAAACATACACATTTTTTAATAGCTCAATAATGCTATGTTTACTTTAATTGACAAAAAGTAGCCTGTACCTATTTTTTTTTTTAACTTTTCCTTGTTGGAAATCAGCTCCTCCCTTATAGGCATGGAGTGTCAGTATCACTGCTGTGACATCTGGACTTTTCAGCTTTTATGACAATCACATACTCAAAGCTGATAGTAATTTTTCATGTAACTCATTGCTCACCATTTATTCCTTGGTGTGTGAAAAGGGATTCATTGTTCAGCTGTATGCTCTGCTCTCATTTTGCCTTTAACATCCAAGGAGCTCCTAGCCTAAAAGAATGAGCCTTGGAGATGGAAGTACAGTGAGTTCATCCCTTCCCCCAACCTTACTTATTATCTAACCAAGCATTTTAGTCCTTCTCTCATAAATCAAGCCTTCCAGCTCTTTAATCTTTTTCTCTGTCATTCTCTGAATTCTCTCCAATATGTGAGTAAGGGCCTTGGCCCTCCTCAGACCTAACCAACAAGTTGTCATTTGAAGCCCCAAAGTGACCTATTAGATTTATGTGTTTCTATGTTGAATTGCCCTGTGTGGCTGACCTGGATCAATGGATTGCTCATACTGCCTCTAGGAATATCATAAGGATAGTGTTTTTCTATGTTCATTTTTTTTTATCCTATTTCAGCTTCTGGAAATACCTTCCAGATCCTTTTCCTAGAATAATATCGGACTTATTAATATGTTGAGATCTAGTGAGACATTGTATGTAAAAGCAGTTCACCAACTATTATAGACTATATAAACAAAGTAGCAGGGCTATAGTTACTACTTGCTGGTTTTTGTCTATGAGAAAAATTATAATAGGTTTTGATACATCTCTCCTTTAAAGTAATGACTTGTTTAATAAATAACTGTACTCATTAAGTCTTGATATGAGAAATCGTATTCATGTTTACATTTCTTTCCCAAGGCTAATGATTGATGTCTTCAACAAAATGTTGATGCTTTAAAAATTCCTGATGGTAACTTTAGTAAACTAAATATGTCAAATTGAGTAATTTTGAAAAATCCTCATGTAACAATATAATTGTTCAAACTAATGTAATTGTGCTCTCAAATCATAATGAAGGTCATGTGGCATCTTAGAGAAATTTCTTTGAAAATGAATTCATTTATGCATTGGATTCAAGTGTGTAAGAAAAATAAGAAACTGCCCAACTCAGAAAAGGAATTTTCGGGGCAGGGCAATTACATCAGTTCTCTGGAGATGGGACCTGGGTATCAATATTTTTTAAAGCTCTAAATGTGCTTCTAAAAGTGAAGCCAAGGTTGAGAATCATTGCATTAGGTAGTGTGAGGCAGAGCAGCAACTGAATCTCTATGTGGCTTCTTTTTTGTCAAATATTGATACCCCCTGACGATAATAATAAGATTATTGTGAATAAGATGCCATTCAACATAAGAACGTAAAATAAGGTTCCCCCTTTTCTCTAAAATCTGATTTGTTGGAAAAGCTGTGTCCTGTAATTCCTAATTAGTGCCTTGAAATGGTTACACTCCCCTTCTCCATCCCAATTCTCACAAAAATGAACATCATAAAATCACATGCCTTTGCAAACAAATTAGCCTGCATTTGCAATACATCTATATTTCTCTATAATTGTCAGCATTCCTGCAAACCTGTGAATGGTTAACATCCTCTTTTCTTTCTTTCTTTTTTTTTTTTTTCTTCCAGGGAAATGATATTGACCCTGAAGCAGTTAAAGGTGAAGTGTTAAAAGTTGGAAATAAGAGCTGTGAGAATATACGTTCACATTCTGAAGCCATTTTATGTACGGTCCCCAATGACCTGCTGAAATTGAACAGCGAGCTAAATATAGAGGTGGGGTTCCTGCATTCATCTCATGATGTAAATAAGGATGCCAGTGTAATTATGTCACTCGGAGGCTTAAAATAAATCATTAAAGCTCATTTGTGTGTTGGCTTTGGCTCATCAACTCAGCCTCAATTCCTAGTTGTTATTTTAGAAATAGTGGGGTTTTTTGTCACAGTGTCTCCTTCCCCAGGCTTATGAGGCTGGATATCAAAAGTTCTTTCTATCCACAATGCCTCTCCTTTAAAACATACTGAAATTCTCAGTGGGGATAAGGGCACACCTAAATGTCCTTCCCCCAATCTCTCACCACCCCAGGAGGCCAGAGCCAATGTATCACTGCCCACCATAGTGATCACAAATATATGGACCCCCATAAATATAAGAAGTCCTATGCACTGGACCAAAGATAAACTATTTTATGTAACTTCTGTCATGCAGATAGCTAAATCAGATAACTTAGAACCCAAATAATTTTTTTCATTATTTTTAACAGCTTTATTGTAATATAGCTCGCATACTATACAATTCATTCATTAAAAGGGTACAGGTCACTTTTTTGTTATATTTGTTATATTACATCATTAATTTCTTTAAATTGTGGTAAAACATATATAATATAAAATTTGCCATTTTAATCATTTTAAATGTGAAATTCAGTGGCATAAATTGCACCCATAATGTGTAACCATTACCATTGTCTAATTTCAAAATTTTTTCATCACCCCAAACAGAAGCTATGAAACCATTAAACACTAACTCCAAATTCCCTTCTCTCCCTGATCCCCTGGTAACCTCTAATCTACTGCCTCTATGAATTTGCCTATTCTAGATGTTTCATGTAAGTGGAATTATACAATATTTGTCCATTTGTATCTAGCTTTCACTTTCCTTAGCATGTTTTTAAGTTTCAATACATAAACATGTATCAATACTTTATTACTTGTTATGACTGAATAATATTTGATTGTATATATATCACATTTTGTTTATACAAGAATAAGTGGTTTTTAAAGGATTCCTGGAGTCTTCTGTAAAGTTATGAAGTAAAGACTTACAAAAGAATTAGAAAATCGAATACTGAATCATGAGATCAGAGTTGGAATTTCAAAATAACCATAAATCAAAAATCATAAAATGTTAGAACTGGAAGGGAACTCAAAGTTTCCTCCCTGTATCAAAACTGATATAAAAACTAGGTGTAATGCCCATGCCCATAATCCCAGTGATTCCAGAGGCTGAGGCAGGAGGATCACAACAAGTTTGAGACTAGCCTCAGCAACTTAGCAAGACTTTGTCTCCGAATTTAAAAAAAAAAAAAAAAAAAAAATGAAAAGGTAAAGCTCAGTGGTAAAGTGCTCCTAAATTCAATCCCCAGTACTAAAATTTTTAAAAACTGATATAAAAATATTCTGAGGGGGCTGGGGTTGTAGCTCAGTGTAGAGTGCTTGCCTAGCACCAGTAAGGTACTACATTCGATCTTCAGCACCACATTAAAAGGCAAACAAAAAAATAAAGGTTAGTTCTTTAAAAAAAAAAAAAATTCTAAGATTTTATTGTCCTATAAAAATTGATTATTTGCCTCTTTTGGATGTTCTTTCTGCCATCCACCCCACTCTCCCTAGTAAGGAAAAATTAATTTCTTACTTTTTCTTCTTACTCCCATGATATAGTTCACATTATAGTCTAATAATTTATTTGTGTGTTGTCTCCTCTAATATACTTCATTCCTCAAGATGAAAAACTGTTTTATCTTTTTATTCCTATTACCCAGTTATAACTACAGACAGCTACATGCATTATATGAGTACTTTGAGGATCAGTATTCCTAATTCTTCAAACACTGAGACAGAATTTAGGAATCTCATTACTCCGAGGGCAATTATGCCACTTCTAGAATGGTAGTAACCAGATGGTATTCGGGGCCCAGAAAAATCACAACCCTTCCTGGATGGTATATTTTTTATCTGTCATGACCAAATTCTGACTTTTTTTCTTTGTCATTTTTAGTGGAAGCAAGCAGTCACTTCAACTGTCCTTGGGAAAGTAATAGTTCAACCAGATCAGAATTTCACAGGATTGATTTTTGGTGTTGTCTCCATATCAGCAATACTCTTATTATTAATCGGGCTTTTCCTGTGGCTGAAAAAGAGAAAGCAAACAAAAGGTGCATTTTTTTGTTGTTGTTATTGTTTATTTTAAGAAATTCTCTTAGAAATACAGTTATTCCAGTTTAACCTTGTCACAGATCTACATGTGCTGTCACATGCAGTCCATGACACCTGTGAGCACTGGGCATTGGGTCAAGTGTTCAAAACCAGTGACAGCAAAGTCTAACAAGCCCTGTCTCTCTCTGTTTTAAGATCTCAACAGTGATTTAGTTCGCTATGATGCAAGAGTCCACACTCCCCATTTGGATAGGCTTGTAAGTGCCAGGAGTGTGAGCCCAACTGCAGAAATGGTTTCAAATGAATCCGTTGACTATCGAGCTACTTTTCCAGAAGGTATGTTTCAGTTTATTGTCCTGAGAGGTACCTAAATATATATACTTCTGTGGATTGTGGCATTGTTGTTTCTTTTTGCTTTGGCCTTTATAGTTTTAATAAGCCTGAGAAAGAAGCATTTCCCTCTGCCAAAGAATAATTTGATGCAGAAAGAATCACATGGCTCTTCCTTTAAGATTAACTCATGCATATATTATATTAATTTCAGTGTCTGTGAACTCTAGTCTCCCAAAAAAGGTGGATTTTAAAATCATTTGAGCAGTGCTGGGGATGTAGTTCCATGGCGAGCACTTGCCTAGCATGTTTGAGGCCCTGAGTTCAATCCCCCAGCAGTGTAAATAAATAAATAAATAGAATCATTCAAGAAAGGTAACTTATTGGCTGAGTACAAAGCTAAGAAATTGTGACACTCTCTTTAACAACTCGGGAAGAGCTAAGTTACAAAACATATTTTTATTTAAATAAAAGTCAGAGCTGCTACATTTTTACCTTGTTGATCCCCACATTTTTGAATTATACCATTAGAGATCTTTTGAAGCATTCTCAAGGAACACAGCCCTTTACCTACAACATTCCAGGACTTAAATATATTTTGAGTCTTATCCAAGAAAACCTTCATTTATGCTCTTAAGCAAGGAGAGACCAACATCATCTGCTTTGCAAAACACTAGGCCTAATAATGGTCAGAGTTAACCAGAGCTTTTCACATTGTTTTATTTAAAAATCTCCTGCTCAAAGCAAAATGTCTGTATTGTATCAGCTCCATTATCTTTAGAAGTTACAGGACATGAGTCAAGCACAAGCATTTCCCTCGTTGAATATTTACCATTGGACAAATAAAATGAGTCACGGGCAGTTTTGGATCCTGGAAAGTTAGAAGTTGCTCATCCAATGAGCACAAGACTAATGAAGCATTCGACTTTTTCAGCACTTGCTGCCTCTTATTTTTTGAAGCTCACTTGTTATTTCTGTAAACACTGTTTTTGCCTACCTGACTCCTTTCACCTTTAGAAATCAATTTCTTTAACAATATGGACAAAACAAAACCTAATTTGTAGATTTGAAATTTAGATCTAGTTAGGATTTCATATTCATACTTAGTAACTCTAACCTGGGATAAAATTCAAAAGTTATCTTTTTAAAAAGGCTTTCCTAATCTTTCCAATGCCTTACTCACCAAACCTCTATCATCATTGCTAAGAACAATGAGCTGCTTCCTCCTGTCTACTTTCAGCCTGCACCTTGGAGACACGGATAGGTAACACAGGCAGAAAAGGGCCACCTGCAGAGAACAGGAAGGGAGGGAATGCACATCAAAACAAGACAAAGAGGCAACCACAGACCTTCTCTCTGTTACTGCTGGTCTAGCCTGACAGTCTTCTTTCAGAGAGACCCAGAATTATCTGTGGTGTTACACCAGTGTCACATATTGGTGGTCTAAATTTGTTTTGTACATATCTGAATTCAGCTAAAGGTTCAGTAGAACTTCCCTGCCAAAGGACCTTTGTCTTGTGTCCACTATAGAGTTCCCTCAATCTCTGCACCTCTGAGAATTTACAGCTCTGATCTCTAGGTACAAAGGTTTGGGAGTGAAGATGAAAGGACTGAGTTTAGAGAGGCTCAGTTGCACTTCTAGCCCCTTGAGGAAGGTTTGGAGAACCTGACCTTGGGATTAAAGGAGCAGGCATTGAACTAGACTTTCTCCTTCCTTCATTCATCAACATTTCAGGTACTTCTTATTCATTCCACATCCACATTTGAAGGTCACAACTGTCATATTTCCAGCTACTGATTACCATGACTGTAGGCAGCACCCAAAACTTTTCTAGAACTACTTTTCAGATTTACTGTTCGGGCCAATTTTTATTATTAACCAGCTATATCCACTGTGGAAAATACTAAAAATGCTGAAGTGGGATTAGAAATATCAGGGTACCATCAACCTTTTTCGCTCAAATTCTGATTCTCTTGTTGATTCGCAAACAAACAATATTATCAGTTGGTGCCCAAACTGACCTCCCCCAACACACATGAATGACCGTCTCCTCCAATGATTGCCTCCGTACCCACCTAGGGTATCTTCAAATCAGTTGCTGTGGTTTTGATGCCCCCTCTTTGATATATACAGATTCCAGCATCAAGAGCAGAGCAATTGGTGCTTCTCTGCCCTGTTTGGCAGTGAGAAATATACATGCAACACAACAATTTCTTCACCCCTAAATGAAAATCAAAACCAAAACTTCTTGCAAAAGGAAACCTTGTCTGAAGCTCTTATATAGCTTTGGTTGTAAACAAAGACTTATAAGGAATGCAGACTCCTGTCCAAGTCCCCTCCCCTAAGCAGTGGGGATGGCACACTGACCAGGGTCCAAGCTGCCTCTAAATAGCAATTACACTAAATCTATTGCTATCACTACAAAGTGGAGAATGTACCACTACTGTGAAAAGCTTTTTTTTTTAGCTTTGAAACTGTGGCCATTATATATGTAATTATATGTGTATATGGATTGAGCATACCTAACTGCCCCCAATCTGAAATTCAACATGTTCCAAAATCTAAAATATTTTGAGCATCATATCAGCACTTAAAATATTTTGGATTTTGGAGCATTTCAGATAGATTTTCAAATCAAGGCTGCTCAGTGAGTAAAGTCTATGCAGATATTCCAAAATCTGAGAGAAGCTAACATATGAAGCACTTCTGTCCCAGGCATTTTAAGAAAGCCATACTCAGTCTATATGTAATTATGTATATTTTATTCTGCACATTTTTCCTTGGCTAGGAATTTGCACAATATTAATTATTTCCATTCATAAACACCAGACTCTCAAAAGACATTATTTTCATTTTCTTACATGTAAGCTGGATTTTTATGAGATTAAGCAATTGTTTTTAACTGTCTTTTCTGCTTCCCATTTTTAAGGAAATATTCAAAAATAAATTTCAAACCTGGCTTTTTGCTATTAATAAAAAGAGAAACATCTAAGCAAATGAGGAGACTAAGAAAACTAATTAATGTATTGTCTACTTAAAAGAAAATTTGCAAGTGTTTTATATGTATAAGCCAGTATCTTTCCCCAATTTATTACTATTTTTATCAACCAATTCCTTTGTAAAGGCTATTCCCAGCCTCATTTGATTCTATAACCACCATTTCTTTAATCTTAAAATTCAGGCTTCACTATCAATTTAAATTAATTTACTACCACTGTTGCAGCCTCCCTAAGTGAGGTTTTACGCCTGTTTTCTAGTCATTTTGTTTTATCTTGCAGACCAGTTTCCTAACTCATCTCAGAATGGATCATGCAGACAAGGGCAGTATCCTCTGACAGACCTGTCCCCCATCCTAACCAGTGGAGACTCTGATATATCCAGTCCATTACTGCAAAATAATGTCCACATTGACCTCAGTGCTCTAAATCCAGAGCTGGTCCAGGCAGTCCAGCACGTAGTGATTGGGCCCAGTAGCCTGATTGTGCATTTCAATGAAGTCATAGGAAGAGGTAAGTATTTCCACTCAGCTTTTCGTTAAATACGATTTTCCAGTAAGCATTTTATCTTCTGCCTTTGCAGATTAGGAACTTAGACAATGGCGAAAGCAACTGACAGAGCACTGATAATGAGTGTGTTTGATTTCTGTTCTGTAGAAATGCAGCCTTGCAAATCATATCTAGGGGGACTTGTCCCTGTGTATCCAGGCAATTGGATAACTTCCCAAACATGTTAGAAATAAATTGCATTCCTTCCTCATCTTCCTTACACTGGCAACTGTAGTTTCTTGAATAGTGCCATACACTTCTTTTTTAAAGATTGTTCTTGTAAATTCTGTTATTTTCACTCATATCTCCTTCCAGTCTTTCTTTGCCGTGAGAACAGTGACAAACTCTAAAGTCCTGGTTTATAGCAGTTTGTATACTGCTGGACAGCATCAGAAGACAGGGAATTTATAGCATTCCCCTGATCTGAAGCAACATATATCATCTCCACAATGCACTCCAATTTCTTTATACAAAGAAGAATGAATATTTGTAATAAGCTAGCCAGAGCAGCAATAACAGCTAGCATAAACAGTATTTGAGGAAATATTTAGCAGGAAAAAAAAGCAACCAGAAGCCAAGAAATGAACTCCACTCTTTTTTTTTCCTAAAATACTTTTATCCTAATACTGAATGGCCTCTGATCCCTTTGATTCTGTATGTGCTGCATGAAGTAGCACAGGCATCTGCCAGTGTGGTGCAGGAGAACTGATAGGATCCATTGCCTTCTATGAACATGAGACCTTCTCACTCTCGTATGGTGGCATCCAGATATTCCTCTGTCACACACTCCAGAACTTAATTCTGAGCACACTGCTCTTTCCCTAAAAGGGCCTTCACTATTCACAAGTATGTTTCCATGTCTCACATCAGAGTATTGTATATCTCTGTTATCAGCCTGTAAATACCAGTGATTTCACTGGTTTTGGAGTGTGGAGCCTCACTAGTTACGGTTCCAATTCTACCCACTGTAAAATTATCATGAAAAGTGCTAAAGCAATAAAGTGGCAATTATTGCTCTTTTGAAATCATAGTAATTAACAATCTATAAGTGTTAACTACTATTTGTTTATATGTTTTTCTCCAGGAGAATGTAAGCACTCACTCATGAGTGTAGGCTTATTTTCTTCAACTTTGTGTTACCTAATGCCTGACATTCCCATACTAGGCACTCAGGGCATCTTGGCTGGCTGGATGAATTAATTGATGAGTGACTTACACAGCTATCAGATATTTGGCACCTCTGGGAAAAATCATTGCCACTGAATGAAAGGCTACCACTGGGAAAATGATGTGGTTAAAGCTAAAGGGAAGTGCATGAAATGAGTCAGAGTGAATTTGCTTCATTTGGGCAACTGCCTTTCAATTTCTGCCAACCTGGCTTACATATTAACCGGTGACTAATGGGGGAAATCCTTCTTCTATAATACTAATCTTATTTCTAATAGCAGCATTATTATTTTATTTTGTTTTACTGGAATACAGGGAGCTTATTTTGTTATATTTCTTCATGCAAGTAAAACTTTATTTTCATATTAACATTCATTTCACCTACAGTTTTTACATATACTAATAATCATATTGCTAATATCCTGGAGAAAAAAAGTACTTCATCTACATATGTACACAAACACACACACATACACACACACACACGCATGTATAATGGTATTGTTAATGAAAGTATCAAAAGCAATGTACTTTTTTGCCATATAGAAAAAAGGAAGAGATGATGGCCATGGAAGGCTTAGTAAATAATTATTGCATAATTAAACATTATGCAACTCTAACCAAGTCCCTTCTTTCACACAGGGCATTTTGGCTGTGTGTATCATGGAACTTTGTTGGACACGGATGGCAAGAAAATTCACTGTGCTGTGAAATCCTTGAATAGTAAGTTACATTTTACTTAACAGTAGAGGATACTTTCATGGCTTACAAACTAAAAAATAGATCAACTAATAAAATGCTGATTTACACTTTTTCTGGAAAAAAAATTATGGGTCTAATTCTGAAAATGTGTTTAGTCTAAACTCAGTGAAGCATTTCCTCTGAAGTTATCCTTCAGAGCCTTCATAAGAAAGGGTATAGGAAAAATGAGATTCGTAGATGAGCTGAGTATCATTTAACTGTGTTGGCCATATAATATTTGTTTTGCAAATGACATTTGTGGAAACTACTGAAAGCAGGTTGGCACATACAGTAGTAATGACTCATTTTACCCAGAGGCATTACTGTAATTATTTTTTAACCACAACTTCCAATTGAAAAGATTTTTTAAAAAAAGAAAGAGAGAAATATGCTGGCAGAAAATTAGAACTGTGGTGATACTTCATCTCTCTGCCTGTTTGGGGATTGAGTTGTTCTATATAAATGAACTTCCTAAAGAAGTGAAACCTACCCCCTTTTACTGCTAGAACATTTATTAAAATTTTAGCTGTTATTGAGAAAGTCTTCTTAAGATGAAATATATATCTGTTTAAGAAACAAGGAATGTTTCCAAACATAAACTAAGTCTTTACTGATGACTGAGAGACGTAATTATGGCCATAAATTACCATTTGGTACAAGCTCGTGCATGCCACATACTAGAGTGTTCCTGACTCCACCTTTGTTGAAACCCCTCTCATACTTGCATTTTCTACTCCCGTTTCTAATGTTCTGCCTATAACTTGAAGGAGCCTGAAAAAAATGTTAGCCATCTCTATTACAGAGTTATATTAGCATTAATAAGTTTTAAATGTACAAATAGAAGGTTTGCCTGCAAGATACACCATTGCTACAACTCTTTCAGCCTTTTTTAAATATCAGTCTCCATGCTGAGCACCCTTGTGTGGTTAATTTTGTTGGAAGTCTGACCACAAAGTAATTAAAGAAATCTAATAGTAAATTTTGATGGATTAAGTACAGTTGTTAATAAATTCATCTCTCTAGAGAGCGGTACTGCCAACTATATTCAGCAATCCTAACATCAAGACATCTTTCCTTGTCATTGGTACATGTCGATCCCTATTCAGACCATCCTGATTTCCAGTGTCTTTTCCAGGTCTCAGAATGCACTTCATTTGTAAGAAAATGACAACATGCCACGAACACCAAAAAGATACATATCAAATTAATATATTAATGTTGTTGACTTCCTTAATGAGAACGTGTATCAATCCCTCAGTATCTCTCTCTCTGGAAATGCGTAGAAACTACTAGACTCAAAGGGACCTATGTAGATACCATATGGTCATTGGACTTCAGACTCTCTTAGTCCACAAATGAGTAAACAATGGCCCACCCCCTGTTTTCACTAATAGAGTCTATTGACACACAGAGAGTTATTGTCTGTGGTGTCTTTCATGATGATCAATAGCAGATCTGAGCAACAGCGACCATCTGGCCCACTATGTGTGTGTGTGTGTTTTTAAACTATCTGATCTATTATAGAAATTTGCCAGCCTGTGCCCTGTAGATAATCACTATAGAAATGAACTGGTCTGATCTCCCTGATCCCCTATCTTTTTTCTGTAAGAGACAATCTATGGTTCTGTAGGAGACAAACTGATTGCTGAACTTGATTTTACAAAAGTGGGTTTTAGGTGGTAACTTGAAGTCACAGTGTAAAGAGTCATTGTGGGGCTCAGATAACAATGCTCCAAAGTATGGATGCTGAGTATGTTGAACTGAAGGACATTGGAGGGGCTTCAGAAATGAAGTTTCTTCCTGACCTTCTCCTGCCTTTCTTTCTCCTGCTCTCCTCTTCACACCCCCAATCCCCGTCCCCACCAAGTCAGGTCATAGAACCTAGAACATTTCCCCCCCGTCCCCCACCAAAAGCCATTGATAACACAGAAAGATTACTCTAACCTTCTTCTGCCATTCTGTCTTGGAGTTAACCATAAAGAAATTCTCTAGCCTGCCCTGTCGGCAAGTAGTTCATAAGGCCCTCATTCTAGAAGGGATACCCCAGAAAGAGGCCACAGAGAATCCCAGAAGACAAGCCTTGCTTGATTTCCCTCTCAGCCTGTTACCATTAGGTCATACACTTTTTGTCCAGTCACATTTCCACCCATCCGTCCACTCTTCATCAGTCCAAGCATTAAAATAAAATTTAAAAAAATTAAAAAGGACAGCTTTCCCTGGGTACTTAGGGCTTGGTTTTTTAAAGGTTCCCATGCCTTACAAAACTTCAATTAAATAAATCTGTTTGCTTTGCTGTTGTAATCTGTCTTTATTTATAGGAGTCTCAGCTGTGACCCTTATGATGAGTGAGGAAAACAATCACAGCTCTCCACCACTGTGACACCATTCACTCAGATATATTGTACAAAAACAGTGGGGTTAGGCCTCAGGACAAGGCATCACCTTGGGGTTTTACATCTCCTTGCTCTTCCTATCTAACTTGACAAAGTATGCATTGTTCCAAAATGAAGTCAAGTCTCCATCTCTGGATTTCTCAGGAATCACTGACATAGAAGAAGTTTCCCAGTTTCTGACTGAGGGAATCATCATGAAAGACTTTAGTCATCCCAATGTTCTCTCACTCTTGGGAATCTGCCTTCGGAGTGAAGGGTCTCCCCTGGTGGTCCTACCATACATGAAGCATGGAGATCTGCGAAATTTCATTCGAAATGAGACTCATGTGAGTATATTACCAAGTTTGCTAACTGTTGAACTACCTGGAAATCAGTCATCCCTTTATACATGGCTGCTTTCACTCTTAAAAAGCTATCAGCCAAAGAGGCACATATAAAATGTTGGCAACATTCAAACGTACCTCAGAATTCTGGCCTGGTGGGAAGACGGTGCGACTTGGAATGGTATCCTTGGACAATCATTCTTACTTGCCCCGCAAGCAATCTTGCTGTACCATTCCCTGATGATACATTGAAGTCATCTTTGAATGCCTACTCTTTGCCAGAGCATAGCACAGGAGAAGAGGCAAAAGAAGCCACAGCCCATGTGGCATTTTAACTCTGGGAGACAATGAAGAATTAATAACCAATGAGTCTTCCCTGTTCCTCAGTCTTGCCACCTTTTTTGCCACCTCAGGGCCTCTGTACTCGCTGATCCCTCTGCCTAGAACACTCTTCCCCCAGATATCCATACATTTCACTCCCTAATCTCCTTCAGCTCTTTGCCCCAATGTCATCTTCAAAACGAGGCTTCCCTGACCTGTTTTAAATGGCAGCTGCCTGCCCCATCCTCATGCCCTCCATCATTCCCCTTTCCTGGTTTTATTCTCCATCACACTTAGCTGATAACTATGAGCTCAGGCTGTCCAGTACTGTGGTCACAACCACATGTGTGAATGTGGCCAGTTCAAATCAAAAGGTACAGTAAGCATAGAGTACACCCCAGAGTCTGAATAGTTAACATAATCTATAGATTGCATGTTGAAATAATATTTTTGATATGTTGGGTTGACAGATATATTCTAAAAATTAACTTCACCTGTTTTCTTTTACTTTTTGAATTGTGTATGTGGCTTATGTTGCATTTTTTGTTGAATTGTGCTGTACTGGACAATAAACAATAGCTCTGGTGTATATGTATATACACCACATACACACACACACACACACACACACACAGGCTGTTAGATGCAAGCTCAGGAGGGTAGGTATTTTTATGTATTTTGGTTACTCCTAAGGCTTCAGTGATTAAAATTAGCATTCAACTCATAGGCTATCAGTAAATATTGTGAATAAGTGTTCTTACAGTTAACAAGAGGATTATAGGCTCTTGCAAGTGGGAGTTTTCTTAATGAAATTTATGCCAGGGGGTGAGCAAGCATTGACCAGGCCAGTCAGTGCCGGGGAGGGCTAGTGAGGAGTCTCCAGAATTGAATTCACCTATGGCCTCAGCTCCTCTTTGGCTCCTGTAGCCCAGGTCTTGTGGGACTCAACAGAGTAGCTTTACTCTCACTCAAAAACAACTTTATAAACACAGGGTCAAGTTCTCAGAGAAAATAAGCTCTAGGACAGTTAAGAAATATTTTGTGTTCAGCCAAAAGACTAAAACAACTCCCTGGCAGGGAATTTTTACAGATAAAAAGAATTTACTTTGAAAAGTGCAAAGCTACCCTGACAGATCCCACTTTAACTCTTGTCTTTACCCAGATGAGTCAGTCTTCTTGGATGTGCTACCTTCTCTGGAGTGTTGTTCCCCCAGGGTTAAAGTATGACAGACATGTCTTATTATCCAGTACAGAATAGTACCCATCCAGACTTTTATACCCCAAGGAGTTGATTGACACTGATGATGGCCCCTAACACGATGTGTCTTCTAAAGAGAAGCCTGAAACACAAGTCACTGGCCTCTTCACAGTCTCTGTACATCAGAGGAGGCAGCAGCCCATCTTACTAGGTCCCCACTGAGTGCCTTTTATGCTTACAAACTCCACAGAGGCTACTGAAAAAGAAGCCCTCTTCCTGAAGCCCAGTCCCTCGCAAGGGCTGTCAGTCACAATGACATCTGTGTGATTTCAGATTCAATTCTTCCTATTAATAAGGCATTGCTCTGTCCATCTAATGTTGTGGATGGAGTTTGTGGAGAATGGGATATCCTATTATCTGAGCTGGTCCAGAAGCCTAAGAGTTGTGTGCTAATGATACATCAGTCCCAGTAGGAGGGCTTATGATTGTAGCCAAAGAGACTTAGGTTAGATCCTAACTCCACCAATTACTCTCCCAAGTACTTCAGGTTGATCTGTTTCTCTTTGAGCCTCCTGAATTTACTATGTATTTCTGGTGCTTTGAATTTGAGCCTTGCTAACACTGAGGCTATCCCTCCCAGAGTTAGAATTCCTGGAAATAATAAACAACTTGTCTTCAGAAAGCACCTTTCATATGCAGACCAACCAATCCATAGACCACACCCCAGCCACCTTCTTCAAAGTAGCCAATCTGAAATCTGGTAGCTTGCCTCACCTTTCCTCCCCAAGGAAATTACAATAAAGGCTCTTGCCCCTCACTCCCTCTGCCTCCTGACTGTCCCCAGTGCTTCCCTGGTAGCCCTGCATGGCATCAGATGCTCCCTTCTCTTGGGAACTGTAAGTAACAAACCATCTTTTCAATGAAAATTGCCTTCAGAGCTGTTGGCCTCATCATAACTGAAGATTTTAAAACCTGCATTTCAAAACATCACCATTTCCCCATCTGGAAAACACCTGCCTTCAGAAGAGTATGAGAATTAGCCATAATTCATAAAAACATCTAGCTTGATGCTTTACATACTATAGGTCCTTAAGAAATAGTTGTTGCTGTCAACAGGGAATAAGTTATTATTTGAGACAAGATAATTCTTATAAACATGTTAGGATTTGGAGATCAGAGGTAGAACAGTGGGTGTTTAGTTTATGCTTTTCCAACTCTCTTTGATTGCAGAACCCAACTGTAAAAGATCTTATAGGCTTTGGTCTTCAAGTAGCCAAAGGCATGAAATATCTTGCAAGCAAAAAGTTTGTCCACAGAGACTTGGCTGCAAGAAACTGTATGTAAGTATGAGAATCTCTGTACCCACAGTCCAAATTAAGTGATGAGAGTTTGTTTCCCACTGTTCAAAGCTAATGAAGATGTTTTTCTCTTCTTATGCAAAAAAATCCTTTATTTCCTTGGCTGTTTTAAATGGATGTATAAGCCTTTGGGAGGTGGGGGTGGGGGCTTTCAGGCTTTATCAAGCAGAGGATTTAAAAGGTTGCCCCACAGGGGGTCTCCAGCAGCTGTTGTGTACTTTCACTTTTCTGGGTCCTTCCCACAAGCAGCCCCCAGTGTTGTGGTTTCACACTGAATTAGTCCTTAGGAGGGAGAATTTGATCTTCAGCATCTTACAGTGGAAAGGAGAGGGCTGGTAACACAAATACCAATACAGTGTAACTTCCCAAGTGTAGGTCTGAAGTCAGCCTGCAGACGCCCTACCAAAAATGGTATTTGGGAATGAATATACAAAGAACTTTTATTTGTGTCTGGCTGCCTGGCTGTATAACACAACAGTCAACAGTTTGCAATTGATTCTGTGCCTTCCCCTTGCCGAGCACTGATTCAGGACCTATGGTATGTGTGAATGAAGGAGCTGTGCTATTAATTTTCTACCTTGGTTTTGGTCAACGTAACATCATAAAATCCAACTTAAACCAGTTAGCATAATGTGTGTGTGTGTGTGTGTGTGTGTGCGCGCGCTTTAATTTTAGTATGTTAGATGCTTTATTTGGATCTAACATTCTAAGATTGATGCTTTATTTGGATCTAACATACATTCTCTATTATCTCAGTGGTGAAATATTTGAGTTTTATATACTGACCTGACACATGTGAGAATGAAGAAGTAAAATAACAATCCCATGTCATGTCTCTCACATGGAACTGAGTATTTCTGATAAACTGACAAGCGAAGATGGGGAATTGTGTTGGGTAGTTGACGTATTCTATTTATCAGCTAAGGAGAGCTGGGAGGGAGACAGCTTTACTTTTTCTCCAGATCTCCATTAAAGCAAAAAGGAATTTCCAATGCTGTATCATTCATGATCCCTCTCCTCAGCCTGCTGAATTTGTCACATAAATGTCAAACATTTTTATTCAAGAATTCCACTGTAATTTAGTGTTTGTCAATAGGCCAAAAGGAAGCCCTGCTTTGTAAATTATGGATTTCAAATACTGAAGCCACTTGTTCTGATCTATAGATATTTGACATCTTTGTCAATTATTTTATTTCAGCTACCAGTAGTTTTTTGTTTTGTTTTTTTTTTTTTTCTTTCTGTAGGCTGGATGAAAAATTCACTGTCAAGGTTGCTGATTTCGGTCTTGCCAGGGATATGTATGACAAAGAATACTACAGCGTACACAACAAAACAGGTGCAAAACTGCCAGTGAAGTGGATGGCTTTAGAAAGTCTACAAACTCAGAAGTTCACCACCAAATCAGATGTGGTAATGTACTGATCATCCCTGACTTTTTTTCCTCTTTTACTTTCATACCCCACTTCTTTGTAGTTTTATGGCAATTTTTAAATTTTTTTTAAAAAGCATAATTTTTATTAATTGTTTTACATATAAAGATAAATGAATTAATAAAAATTAATTAAAAAATTAAAGTTAACACCCATAGTATATTTTCACAAATTCACTTGCTTATCCAACATTTGTTGAATGGAGTATCAAGCTGGCTCTTTGGGAAGTGCCAAATTGAATTAGGCATAAGCTTTGTCCTGCAGGAGCTTTGATCGACAGGGAAGAAAAGACATGGCCATCAATGACTGTAGCACAAAGTGGTCTGGGATTGCACTACCTTTCATAGTCCAAGGGCAGCAAGAATTCCACTTGGAGATATCTGGAAGCTATAACTGAGGCAGATCCAGCAGGGAGGGCATGATCCTCATGCCTGATTAGAAAAGAGTCCTCCTTTATCAGTAAAAGCCATGATCCTCTCAAACAACACACTTCAAAAGGCATGCAGCTGAGCAGCTGAGGATGGGCAAGATGCTCACCTGGGGGACCAGCTCTCCTACATTCCTCCTACACCCCTGTGGAGGAGGCAGCACCTGAAATGGGCCCTAAGGGATAGCAGGCTTGGAACTGGACAGCTGGGTGAATGGAAATATCAATCCAGGTAAAGCAAAGGGGCAGGAAAGTATAAGAATGTTTAAGTTCTGAGAACAGAGGATTTAGTGGGTGATTTGGCAAGAATGGAAGGCGTAGAGGGAAGCTACAGTTTTAAAAAAATAGATTCATGATAGATCATAAAGGTCTTTACCAAACTGGAGTCTGAAATTTATTTTCTGGTCACATGGAAACAAACAAAAGTGATCAGGTTAGATTACAAAATCCATCTTCATTCTGTAAAATGACTAGAGAGGGATGGGGGCAGGACGATCAAGTGAGATGTAGATCTTGGAATAATAGAGAAACTGTGAGAACGGAAGGGAAGACGTGGAAGGAAAAAGATCTCTGAGGTAGAATTAACAGTATTTAGTAAGAACTGATAAAATTCAAAGATGAGCAAAGCTATAGGCTGGTGTATTAAGAAATATAAAGCACAAGAGCAAAAGCTAAATTTGGAGAAAAAAATAACAAGTTGAGCCTTGACCACATTCAGTTTGACTTGGGATTACTCCACCTAGGCAGACACATCCATTAGGCACTTGGAAACAAGGATCTGAGGCTTGTAAAAAAGATTATATTATATTAATCAGCTCTCAGGCTGGCATAATTTTAAAAAAATAGATTGACTGACTTCAACAGTAGAAATTTATTTCTAACAATTCTGGAGGCCAGGAGTCCAAGACCAGGTTGTCCTCTTCCTGCTTTATAGATGACCACATTTTCACTATGTCCTCACATGGTTGAAAGAGAATGAGGGCAAACCCTCCAGTGTTTATTCTAATAAGGGCACTTATCCTACCATAAGGACCCTATCCTTATGACCTTATCTAAACCTAATTACTTTCAAACATCATCACATGCCAGAGGTCAAGCCTAGGAACATGCCCTTGAGAGTCCAAAAGTAATTATTCAAAGAACCTACATGTATGAAGTGAGGAAGAAAATAGAAAGGCGGAAGACCCTGGAGAAGAGACTACCATGAAAGTCAGAGAAAGAAAAAGTTTCAAGAAGAATCTGGGATGGTTAGTACATCCATTGCAGCTTACTGTGCCAGATGGGTCTTGGAAACTGAGCCACTTGAGTACTTAGAAGGTCCAGAATTTGCTGAGGAGCCTGGGAGTTGAAAAGAATGGAGAGTGTATACTTACTCTGTTGCACGTAACAGGTCAAGATAATTGTGATATCTGGAGGGAGAGAAAAATTTAACATTTCTGCCTGTAAGGGTAACAACTGAGAGAGAGAAAAAAGTGCAAACTCAGGATATCTGCTGACAACTTGGGCTGAAAATAATGTTCATTGAGGCTATGTACAAACAAGCAAGAAAGAGTTAGCAGCTATTGAGAGATGACGGGGGACAGGGATCTGAATGTAATATTGGGAATCCAGTCATTTTACTCTCATCCCTGAGTCAGCAAGAGGGAGAGGTGTGGCCTCTGTTGGTAGGTCAAAGAAACTGTGTTATCAAGTGAATACCAAGTTTCAGTTCCTGTAAAGAGGTGGAGGAAATACCAGAAAGAAAACTGAGGTGACTGGCTTTCTTTTTTCTCCAATAAATAAATGTGTCATTGGTCATGGTGGAAAAAATGGGACTGCTGGATGTGTAAGATTGAGAAAAGAAATGATAAACCATGTTGGAGCTTAATGCCTGGGGTTTTGACCCTGAAAGATTCTGAAAGAGATGATAGAAATGAGTCCTAGAGAGGGTGGCTGGGGACTTGTAATGGTAGCAAGTGAAGGCATAAGGTAGAAAGAAGTAATCCATCCTCAAAGAACAGACTGTTCATTCAGACTTGACTCCCAGTCTACCATTAAGAACTGAAGCCAACTCTTAAAACTCAATAAGAGATAAAATCCAGTTTTTTTAAAATAGGCACCAGATTTGAATAGACATTTTGCCAAAAGTTGTATAAATAGCTAGCTAACCCACATGAAAATGTATGCCATATGAAGACTTTTTTTTAGGCAAATGATCACAGTAGTTGTATTCATAAAAGTCAAAAAACAAGGGCAATCTTGAAGTTTATCATCTGGTGAATGGACAAACAAAAGGTAGTATGTCCATAGAATGGAGTGATGCCATTGAGCAATGTAACAGAACTGCTGATACATGCTATAACATGGATGAGGTAAACCTCACAAACATCATGTTAAGTAAAAGAAGGTAGACTCAAAAGATTAGATTTTGAATGACCCCATTTATACACAATTTCTGGAAAGAGGCAAAACTATAGAGAAAGAAAACAGATCAGTGTTTGCCTGGGCTGGGTATGGGCATGAGGATTGCCTACAAATGGACATGAATGAGGGAACTTTCTGGAATGTTGAAAAGGATCTAAAACTAGATTACAATGATAGGTATAAACTATGTAAATTTAGTGGTCATCATTGACTATATACTTATAATTTGTATATCTTACAACCTATAAATCATACATCAGCAAAGCTGATTAAAAAGAGAGAGTCTAATTAAATTTTGCACGTTCAAGGCAGAAGTTAGAATTCTAAGCTTTTTTTTTTTTAAAGAGAGAGAGAGAAAGAATCTTTTTTTTTTTTTCTTTCATGTGGTGCTGAGAATCAAACCCGGGTCCCACCCATGCTGGGGGAGCGCTCTACCACCGAGCCACAATCCCATCCCCTGAGCTTTTTGACAACAACACACAAACACCACTACCACTGCCTCCTCAACAAACACACAGCATGGAGACCAATGCTCCTCACATAGCAAGAGGCAATTTTTTTAAATTGCCTTATTTTTAAAAATTGGGCTATTTTGTCTTTTTATTAAGTTGTAAGAGTTGGCTCCAGTTTGTAAGAGCAGACAGGGAGTCAAGCCTGAGGTGCTTGACTGGAAATTTCTCTTCCGTAGATAAGACAGTGTTCTCTCCCTCTCCTTGAAAGACACGATACTGTATGACATAAAGGTGAAACCTGAGTAATCCACACACATTGCTGCTTTAGCAAGTGGTTACTGATTGCCTGGATAAATTTGCACAAAGACAGCACAGTCTTTTGAACCAACATTCATGGAACATTTCCAAAAGCATGTGTGCATGTTGAGACCTACAAGCAAAAACTTGCCTGCTTGTAGAGGGAGCAGAGAGAGAAGAGGGGAGGGGAGGGGAGGGGGGATAGTAGAGGATAGGAAAGGCAGCAGAATACAACAGACACTAATATGGCAATATGTAAATCAATGGATGTGTAACTGATGTGATTCTGCAATCTGTATATGGGGTAAAAATGGGAGCTCATAACCCACTTGAATCAAATTGTGAAATATGATATATCAAGAACTATGTAATGTTTTGAACAGCCAACAATAAAAAATTTAAAAAAAAAATAAATAAATAAGAAAAAAAAAAAAAAAACTTGCCTGCTTGTAGACAGATTCTCTTTCTAGCAAATGCCCAGATGGAGTTTGGCTAACTCAATAGTCTTGAGTCCATCCAAACAAATTAGTGTGTTACTACTCTTGAAATTACTCACACCCAGCATTGTGCAACGTTTCACACTCAGCAGAAGTTCTTTCATTAAAGTCTGTATTGACTTTGACTTCTCCTTTTGTTCAGTCCATCTGCTTCTTCTCAGCTCTCATCTTGCCTCATCTTTCTGAAGCATTTAATGTTGTTGACCATCCCTTCCTTCTTGAAATTATCCTTTTCTTTGGTTTCTGGATACTGCACCATCTGGTGTTCCTCCTGCTACTTGGTTATGTTTTTTTCTTTAGCGTTGACTGCTTCTTTTCTTTCTCTTATGCACTAGATGTAGCTAACCCCCAAGATTTTTGTCTTCAGGAATGGAACTCCCTCAACAATTGCCACCATTTCCATCAACAATCTCCTTTGACCCTCTCCATCTGGAGGCTCTTATCAGCTGGTATCATTTGATCACAAATTTGTCTTGTTCAAAATCAAATGCTTTCCCACCAAACTGGCAACTCCTCCCTTCCTGTCTTCTGTCCGTGTCAATCCTCATTGTGCAACCTATCTATTGCTCACCATTTGTAGTGTAGAGTTCATCAAGTTTGGGCCAGTGCATCACCATCAGGATGTAGAGTTTCCATCATCCGAAAAATTTCCTTGTGCCCTTTTGTAGTCAACCTCTACCTTATCCCAAGGACCTGAAAATCATTGATTTATTTTCTATATCTATAGTTGGTATTTTTCTCTCTAGAATGTTATATAACTGAAATCATACCATCAGTAGTCTTGTGAGTCTGTTGCCTTTCATTTTATATAATGCATTTGAGAGAGATCCATGTTGCTAAATAAGTAGTATCAATATATCAAGTTCAACCTTCTTATTGAGATAAAAATGCATAAAATTTACCATCTGAATCCACTTGTAAGTGTATAGTGCAGTAATACTAATTATACTCACCTTGTCACGCAAAAGATCTATAGAACTTATTCTTCTCACAAAACTGAAACCCAGGATCCATTGAACAAAGACTCTCCTTTCTCCATTTCCCTTCAGTCTCTGACAATCACCATTCTATAATTTCTGTCTCTACAAGTTCGACTACCTTAGATATGTCATAAAAATGGAATTATTCAGTGTTTGTCTGTTTGTGACTGTCTTGTTTCCCTTAGCATAATGTACTCAAAACTTCTCCATACTGTAGCATATAATTATATCTCCTTTTTTATAAGGCTGAATAATATTCCATTGTATAGATAAAGAACATTTTCTTTATCATTCATCTGTTGGTGGACCTTTAGGTCTCTTCCACTCCTTGGTTAATGTGAATAGTGCTGTAGTGACCATGGTTGTGCAAATTTCCCTTTGAGAGCCTGTTTTCAGTTGTTTTGGATATATACCCTGAAGTGGGATTTCGGGTCATATAGTAGCTCTATGTTCAATTGAATTGCTTTGGTACTGTTTCTATAAGGGAGTAGTTCATTTCTTTTTTATTTTTAAGTAGAATTCCATTGTCCAGATGCACCATATTTAGATTTATCCATTTGCTAGTTGAAGGACATTTGAGTTCTATTTTTAGGCAATTACTTCTATGTAATTATAATTGTTGAGACATTTGCTTAAAAGTTTTTTGTGTGGACGGGTTTTTTTTTTTTTTATAAGAAATAAAAAATAAATCCTTAAGAGTAAGACCACTGGGTTGGAAGGTAAATTTATGCCCCATGTTATGAGAAACTCCTCAATGTGGTCCTGTCCTCCAGTCGTTCATCATTCTTGCCAGCACTTCACATTGCCAGTTTTTTTTTTTTTTTTTTTTTTTTGGATTTTAACCATTCTAATAGGTTGTGGTGATGCCTCATTTTCTTTTTAATCTGTATTTTCCTGATACTAATGACACTGAACATCTTTTTTTGTTCTTACTTGACATACTTATAGCATCTTTGTAAAGTGTCTACTCCAATCTTTTGTCTTTTTTTAAGTTTTAGAATTTAATTTCATTTTTTTCTTACATTAATTGAGTTAAGGGCCTTTTATGTATTCTGAATGCAGTTTTATGTTATCCCACGTATGTTTTTGCAAATATATTTTTCTAGTTCAGTACACTACTTCTCCTAGAAGCTGCCTCTCTCTAACTTCTCCTCTCCCATGAGTCCTCCAACTCCCCTTTGGTACCCAGTTATTACCCAAGTCCTATAGTTCCTCAGGATTTTATCCAATTCTGCTCCCTTTCTAAATTAATTTGTCCCAGACAAACCTGCAGGTAGCCTAGGCTCTCCAGTGAGAAGCCCAGATCACAAAACTGGACAGCTTCTCAGTGGATGGAAACTTTGGTTTCCTCATCCTTAAAACATCCACAAGATCAGTTACATTACAGAACTATAACCAATTACAACCCATTATGAGGATTAAATAAAATAATGTTTTGTAAAGGGCATGATGCATGCCTCACCATATGATGGATACCCTCTTCACCACCCTAATTTGGAAGTAAAGCCCCTCTGGCTTTCTGTGTCAGCATATTGTGCATTCTCACCTGTTCTTCTTCAGAAGCCTCCTAAATGGTCTCTGTGTTGTGGACCGATTTCTCCTGTTTGTCTTAAACTTGGTATTTACAGAGGTCTCCAGGAACACAACTAGCTACATCCCACCAATTTCAGTGTAGCCCACTTTCAACATTTAAAAACCTCCACTGCACAGTACCATTTCAACCTCATCTATCCCGAGTCCCCTCATCTACTCCACACATCTAGCAGGGTGAGCGCTGGTATTTGGTGTTCAATAAGAACACATGTATTCTTGCCTCTGGGCCCACCCCTTCCACCTGGACACTTTCTGCCCTCATGTTACACAAACCTATGAAACAAATTCTCCCTGTTTCTAGGACCCACTTTCCTGTCACTCTTTCTGAAGGCTTTCTCAGTACCCACTATTATCTCTTTGGCTTCTCACAGTGCTTTAACCTGTTTTATATTATTGCTGTATGTTACAAGCATTATCTTATTGTTCTGTGAACAGATATCTGCACAGTGCTCAACCCTTTTAATCAGCCCTGGGACTTACCCCATAACTTGGACGATAACCTACTGGTACATGATCAAAGGTCAATAGATACTTGTTCAATTGATTCAAATTTTAATACAAATTCTGGGACTTGAAGGTTAACACAATAAAATTCTCAGAATGACTCATAAGGATTTTCAGGCTAAGAAAATTTCAATTTTGAAAGGCTAAGTTAGCAGAGTTACCTGGCTCCCACCTCAGCAGGGGTTTAAGATCTCTATGTGGATCAAGGCATTCATTACCTTAAAAGGTTCTTACACCTGGGCAAAGGGAAAGCTATTCATGGAGATTTGTATCAGCAAGTACAATATCTACCTCATTTCTTTCAGTCATAGAATTCAAAAACATGCATTATTCTTTTTCTTGCCGAGAACTGTAAGCTCTATTCGATTCTCAGTTTTACATTTTCCTACTCCCCCTGTCTTTTACCTCCAAGTGTCTTTTAACCAGGGCCTTCTGTCCTCCCCCATGAGTCTTGATCTGGAAGCGTTGCCTAGTGAGAGCTGACATCCTGGATCTTCTGCACAGGGTGACCTGCACTTGCTGACTTACTCTTATGTCATCCTCACCTTGGCACATGTCCAGAGAGAGATAATGTGCATGACCTGGTCTGTTCCGACTAGAGTGCTTTAAATCAAGAAATTGCATATTTAGTGAAGTTCAGGAGACCCAGCAAGACCCAAAGGTCAAGAATTCTCAAATGTTTATCCCAGTGTAAATTCAGATATATTGGGGGATTTGAGCAAATCATTTAACCTCTCCGTGTCTGTGATCTTCCTATGAAGTACTGATACAGCTCTTTTATAGTCATCTAGTACTTTAACATTTTGAAATTACATTTTTTGAAATTAGTTTTCAACAGTTGCCCAGTGGTTTTATTATGTATGATTCTTAATGTTGACTTTTACTAATACTGATTTAGATCTTTTCTTTTAACATTAACCTTTAAATATTTTTACTTTTCTTAAGGCTATGGACATTCATTTTTAAATCCTACAAATTTAACTTTTCCAAGGCTTCCTTTACCTTCCTTTTTATGAATAATCTGAAATTGTAGCAAAGTTATTGAAAGAGAGAAGGATAGAAATGTGCTGGTGCTTTGACTCCACAACAGAGAACTTGAAAATGTACTCTGCCAACTACAGATGAAATCTTCATTGTCATGTGGACATTTTGGTTTTTGTTTGGTTGGTTTTTATTATCATTATTTTTGTTTGATTTTGTTGTTGTTGTTATTTTTGTTTTTGATTAAAATTTTGAGACAGGGTCTCTCTAAGTTACTTAGGGCCTTGCCAAGTTGCTGAGGCTGGCCTTCAATTTGCAATCCTCCCACCTCTGCCTGCTGAAATTACAGGCATGCACCACCACACCCAGCTCAGATGTCCTTTTAAAAACTACATTTACTTGTAACTAAACCTTATCATTTAAACGTATCATGAAATGTACAGCTTAATAATTGCCTTTAAAGGAAACTGTTGTTCCACCGTAGCCATGGTATTGACAATGTTAAGCCAAGCTTAGTTACCAAGACCTACTGATTCCCCTTCCTGTATGTGTTGTCACACTCTCTGACCTGAATTCTCCTTTTTCTTGTTTTGCTAGTGGTCCTTTGGTGTGCTCCTCTGGGAGCTGATGACAAGGGGAGCCCCACCTTATCCTGATGTGAACACTTTTGATATCACGGTTTACCTGTTGCAAGGTAGAAGGCTCTTACAACCTGAGTACTGCCCAGATCCCTTGTAAGTAGGAATCCCAACAGGATCTTCTGTGGCTAGCTCTTATATGCATTACTTTTGCAGAACTACTTGACTTCAAGGGGTCTCTCAACAGTATTTCTTTCTGAAACAGGTATGAAGTGATGCTTAAATGTTGGCACCCCAAAGCGGAAATGCGCCCATCCTTCTCTGAGCTGGTCTCCAGGATATCTGCCATCTTCTCCACTTTCATTGGAGAGCACTATGTCCATGTGAACGCTACTTATGTGAATGTGAAGTGTGTCGCCCCGTATCCTTCTCTGTTGTCACAAGATAACGCTGATGGCGTGGTGGACACGTGAAGGATGGGAACACCACACCCACTTCTGAGCGACATCATCGTACTTGCCCTAACAGCAGTCCACACTTTCTCCAACAGTTTTCACTGCCTGGCCTCAGAAAGGCAATTTGGTATTTTTTACTTTTTGCCAAAATTGCACCAGTATAAGACTTTGTTTTGTTATTGAAACTGCTGGATTCTAAGGAATTTCTTATCTGACAAAGTATCAAAAAGAGAAGCTTGGTCTCACAGGCTAGTGACCAATGGCCACCCTGCCACTATGACAACACTCCTATTGCATTGTAGTCCAAAACCTGAATTCTGGGTTGAAATTTCTAAAAACTCAGAATCCCACTTGATTTCATATGAGAAACTGATGTAACAAATTTTGAAGGCTGCTTAATCACAGAAAAGAAAAGATAATATTGTCTGCGACAGATATGGCAGGACCAGGCCACACATTTAGAATTCTAGTGTTTAAAAGAAATATTGTGTGTTGTTGGTCATGAACACTTTTTATTACTGATGTTGTCATTCACCAGTTAGGTAGACATTCTCTTTCAAATTTTTTGTATGCATATTCCTTTGGTTGGAGGAATGTCCATAGACAATGCAAAGTTTCAAAGTAGCATGACACAGGTATGTTTGTAAATAACAGGGGTATTTACATGTTGTACATAGACAACATTAGGGAGGTTTTAATAAAATAGCTTAATCACAATGAAATATTTAGTTGTCATTGAAAAATCAACTGAGGGGCTAGGGTTGTGGCTCAGTGGTAGAGCACTTGCCTAGCGCATATGAGACCTTGGGTCCGATTCTCAGCACCGCATATAAATAACTAAAATGAAAGTCTATTGACAACTAAAAAAATATATTAAAAGAAAAAAAAATTTAAATAAACTGAGAATGATACTGTTCTGATCAAATGAATGTGGACATTTGGACATTTTGTCTTATTTTTTTAATGCCAACTTGGAAAATAAACAAGTAATTTGTGATGGTAAATATTTTTAAAGGTAACCTAGCATGTTTTTAAAGTAGAATACGACTGACTGAAAGGTTCATTGGTTTCAACCACTGCTCCTGTGTAGAAAAGAAAATCCTGGCTGTTTCGCCTGGATGAATTCTGGTCAGGAATTTTGCGATGTTTCATTCAGTTGAATTTTGTGCTTACTACTGTATAGTGCATGTGCCGTAGATTACTCTAACTGGTTTTGTTGATGTAAACACTGAAAGTATTATATTTTTATAGAAATGTTTATTTTTAATGATATAAGAAAAAAATTGTCGGGCCACAAAAATACTGCACTGTGAACATTTCAGAAAAGGTATGTCAGACTTGGATTAATAACAGCATGATTTTAAATGGCTGTAAATAGTGATAAGGAAATGTACCAATTGCCAATACACCCCACCCTCATTATATCACCAGAACTCAAAGCCATGGGTTAACAGAGCAAACTGCAACAAGGGTGTGTTATGCTGAAACCCAGTAATTGAGTTCGGCTGTCCTTGCGGAGAAATGATTGCAACCAAATGATCTTCGACACAAGGAACTGTGCTGCAGAGATATATCAGTTCTACTACTTCCTATATGTGAAGAGTAATATTAATTCACAGAGTACTGTAAATGGTGAATGACAGAAAAAAAGAAATCTGCTCTGCAGAAAGAAAGAGCTGTCTCTACAAGGTTAAGAGAATAAGCGCATCGAGAACAGAGAACTTGTGAAAACCACCCATCAACAGGAATGCACACCTGTACATACATGCTTGAGAAAGCTGCAATGTGAAAATCGTTATTTTCTATTTATGAACTTGTCCTTAGGTTAATGTGTCTGGACAGATTGTGGGAGTAAGTGACTGCTAAGAATTAGATACTTGTCCCTGCCTATAGCTGCAGTTGAACTGAATGGTACTTTGTATGTTAATAGTTGTTGTTCTGATCAATTATACAGTTAAAAATAAAGTGATGTAACATCTTGTTACTGAGAGTTTGTTATTGCTAGTCATGTTTGATTACCTACTCCATTTACATAATGACATAGGAAGCCTAAGATTGATTTCACTTGGCTATGTAGAGTCGCGTTAATGCATGGGCAGTAGCTAAAAAATTTACATACCTGAATCTCTGGAAATCTCTGTCTTTCCAAGGGTGGTTTGCCTTGAGTTGCTAAAGTAGCTTCATATGTTTTAACAATCTTTCATCTACTAGAGCAACTGATTTCTATTTTAGCTAGGTATTCTTTTCCAGCAAGATGTATTCCTTGGACCAAAAGATGTGACAATGGAGTTGTAACCCTATGGTTGGCACAGAGGTAGATACCCAGGTAGGGACTGAAGAAAGATGTCTTCTTGCCCACTTGAAACTATTTTTATCATCTGCATGGGTGCTCACTCTTCTGAGCCTTCAATTACCAGAGAAACTATCTTCAAGTTTTCTCCACAAATATTTTTGAATGGTAAAGGAACTCAAAAGCAATGTCTATGTTATCTAAGAATTATGTAACACTTCTGGTAAATTGAATTTTTTAAAGACCCCTCATGGTTTGGATGTGAGGTGTCCCCTAAAAGCTCATATGTGAGACAAAACAAGAAGGTTCAGAGGATAAATGATTGGTTTGTGAGAGTCTTAACTCAATCAGTGATTAATCCACTGGTAGGGATTAATTGAGTGGTAACTGAGTGGTGGAGTGTGACTGGGGGGAAGTGGGAAGTGGGGGTGTGGCTTTGGATATATATTTTGTATCTGGAGAGTGGAGTTTACCTCTCTTCTCTCTGCTTCCTGATCATCATGTGAGCCCCTTCCCTCCACCATACGCTTACACCATGATGTTCAGCCTTACCTTGAGCCCTGAGGAATGGACCTGGCTCTCTATGGACTGAGACCTCTGAAACTGTAAGCCTCCAAATAAACTTTTCTTCCCTAAAATTGTTCTGGTTAGATCCTTTAGTCACAGTAATGAAAAAGCTGACTAGAACAGACCCAAGTTTAGACTGAGTGCTACAAAATACAGAAAGGGGCTGATCCTTTACTAGAAGCAAATCCAGTCCCAATACACAGCCACACTCCTTCTCAGTCAAGAGATTAATTTCCTTAGAAACCTCAATCACTTCTCTATACCCCATAAAGACAAGAGCCTGTTGTCTTTATATCCCTAGTATCCGGCATGTAGTAAATTCTCAAATAATTGCTGAACTGAAACGGTAGTTTTATATCCTCAGTCTTAAACCACAATGGGGAAAGTTATTGTTTATGTAGCTCCCATGATATTTAGCAAACAGTGACATGAGGAAAAGGGGGGAAAGGGACCTTCTGGGGAAGGAGGGTTAAAAAGATATCCTTTTGCAAAGTTTTGCTTGGTTCTCTGAACTTTTAATTACCTTGTAATTAATTTTTCATTTCATGATATAGTCATCAATTATATATTTACTCTCTATAGGGGAGATCCCATCCTTAAAGAAATAAAGGAAAGATATATTAAACCTGTAAAAATACATCAAATGTTTGAATGCTGACATCTCACATTGTTAATCTACCCAACTTCATTCAGGAAATAAGAGCATTATATCAAAGAAGTTGATATTTTATTTAATTAAATATTTATCAAGCACCTCTGTATAACAGACACTGTGAGGTAATAGGAATATAAAATTGTCTTTCTCACTCCAAGGAATTTAACAGAAGAAAGAGACAAAATTATGTAATTAGTGAATATTAGAAGCTTGCATATCTCAGATCTGTAAAATGTGTATAAGAAACATAATATTTTAAAGATACAAAAAGTACAAGCCCTTGGGCAAATTGAACAAGCCCTGACTCATCTTGAGCAACATTCTGAACCTCTCTAAACCTGTTTCTCATCAGTCAGAGAGGTTAATCCTGTTCATTTTACGAAATGTTTAAGAACTGAGTGTGTGTAAAGGTACCTGGTATACCATAGTTGCTCAGTACTTGCCATACTATTATTATCTTTAGTCTAAGATAATAAAAACCTAAGTAAATGGAGACCGTGATTGGTCCGAAAGCACCCTTATAAAGGTTTAAGTCTCCACCTCAAGCTTGCTTTAGACAGTAGGGAGCTGTGATTCTACCTCATCCTCCAACACTGATTCATGAGACAGAGAGTGGCAGATTGGAAGAGTGACAAGACATTGGCACCCTTCCCCTGTGTGCAGGACACCTGCAGGATATCGCCATCTCTTCTTGCTCTGGGCTTCTCAGTGTTCCTTTAATCAGTTTTCCATTGATGGATGTCTTTCCCCGCCCCTCTTTAGCCTTCAGACCTAGAATACACAATAGACAGAGAAAAGAGCAATTCACCTAAATTATATGAATGTTGTGAGAAGATGCAATGATAGGAGGCACAGGCCGCAGTATTGGTGTCCAGAGATAATTTCTATTCCTTATTTTGCTCAAATAGGTAGCTAGTGATTACTAAGGTTCCAGTAGAGATAGACTAAGCACCAAGCACCATTATTTCTTTAGTTACGTGCTGTGTGTTTGGAAGATAAGGAATACTTTGTACATATTCTTGTCCATCTAGACAGCTGGACACATACAGATGTAGTCACAGACACAATTCACTCTTGTGGCACTTCAGCCAATTGCAGGACATAGAAGAGATGCAAGCAGCATGCCCCAAAGGAGGAGACACTTGTGCTGTTTCTCCTTTTCGAACTTGACCTTTTTCTTCGGGACTATTTCAATTCCCTATCTATCAAAAAACTACAAAGAACTTCAGTCATAAACCAGTGAAATATTTCAGTTAGTGAATTGAAGGTAATAAAACAGAGACTTGCCCAAACTGTCCTTTATTGTAAATTACTCTAACAGTTTAGATTACGTCAGCCAAAGGTATTGATCACAACCCTGAGAGGTTTATAACTACTATTGACTTACCATGTGACCCTGGAGTAGAAATCTAGGAAAATTGCAAAAGCATAACTATGGTAATGAAAAGTCCATCAGTAATGGGACTCACTGTCCTGTCATCCAGCTAGCACTGCGTTGGCTTACAAGCAAAAACTGAATAAATCCTGGAATCGGTAGGAACTTCTGTTTTCTCTCTGTTCTCCATAGGATGTTTCTGAGCTATTCTGATGAATGTGTTTCCCTTCTTATCAATAAAAAGTGTAGGTTTTAAAAAATTTGATATGAATTATTAATATAGGTAATAATGTGCAAAGATTCAAATAGTTACTAATCTATTATTATTACTATTATTATTATTATTGTTATTATTATTAGAAGCTAGAGTTCCCCATATGGATCAGTTTAGAATAGGCTTCAAATACCATTCTTCTGGACAGTTAAACCCTCAAGCACTCTGAAAATCAGGTAGCCTTACAGAAGTACAGCTGAGCTTACCAAATTTGGATACATAAACAGAAATTTCTCATTTAGATGAACTTCTAATTCAACACTATTTTGTAGCACTGGACCCAGATTGCAATGATAATTAATTTTTATCCCTTTCTTGAAAAGAAGCCCTTTGTCTTTATTGATGTGCCTTTCCACTGCCACGAGTCCATTCCTTTCACCATAGGAGTTTCAGGCTGGCAGAAAACAGCCACTAATCCTTAGACCTCTCAGCTGGAACGACAAAAATGCATAAAATCTTACTAGGCCAAAAGAGATCAACTTTAAAAATCTTTGGCATCCAAACATGTCAGTACTGTTTTTCTCCCCAAACCATTTGTGTTCCTCATTTATGGCCCGTGGCATCTGTAATACCAGTTCCCTTTTTTATTGAACAGCCTGGAATTTTTAAGCACCCGATTTCATCTACCTTCCCTGGTTGGTCATAATTTTCACAGTGTTTTCGTGAGTCTTCTTCTCTCTGTCTCTAATTCTAAGAGTGTTGGAAAGTGGTCCTGGGCTTTGCCAGCAAAGCCCTCACTTTGACGTTTGCCACTTTGTTCTTGTGACATCTGCTCTTTCCATTATTGTCGAGCAGGGGCTTTCCTTTTGCAGAACTGTGACTAAACAACCACCGTATTCATCAGTGGCAACAATTCCTGTAAACAAGAAATGCCAAATTCAGACCCTTTGTGAAATCCTGCCCCGAGAGGCCACACTTCAGTCACGTGATCCTCAGAGACAATTTCAGAAGCCTCGATAAAGAGAAACCCACATATCCTATTGTGCTACTGCTACACAGTGATTTCTAAAGTGTTGTTGAACTGTGAGAATTAAACAGAGAATTTTTTTTAACCTTTATTTGATTTATTTATTTTTGTATGGTGCTGAGGTTCAAACCCAGTGCCTGACATGTGCTAGGCAAGCGCTATACCACTGAGCCACAACTCCAGCCCCTTAAACAGAGAATTTGAGCTTCAGTGGTAGCCACAGGGTCTATGGAAACACCTGAGTCCAGGAGCAGCAAATCACTATCATAAAGATTTTTTTAAAATTTTGTTTTCAGGAAAAAAAAATAGAAAATATCCAGTTTAAAATGGCACATTTTTTTAAATGAACTTAATTGATAAAAATAATAATAATGATAATAATAATAATGACCTCATTCCAGGGCATGTCACAGGAATTAATGACTGTCTAGAAGCTAATGGGCTAAGGTAATGCTCTCAGGGATTAGTCTTGCTTCATGAAATGCTGTTAGTTTAGTAAACGAACGCTTAAAATGACAGAAAGTACAAAATCAGGACTGGTTGACTCACAGGGGAAAAAAAAAAGCTAATGTGAAAATGTGTCATGTGCTGCTCTTACTCAATTTTTTACTTATTAGTGATTCAGAAAATATGTATCTTTTATGGTTTTTTGGCTTTCATACATCTGTCTCATAATTTTACTCTGAAAATGTGTTTATTTATGAATTAGTTTAATTGACAGAGAATTAACCTGTTAATAAAAATACAACTCCCTCTAGTGTAAACATATTGAATTTCCTAAAATTATGTTTGACTGGAAGCATTCTACCCTAAATCGCTGATCTGAAGAAGATGTGGATCTTCCATGTTGCCTTTAAAATAT